TTTACTTAGGTTGCTTCCATATCTTGGCTATTGTAAATAGTGCTGTGATAAATATAGGGGTACACATGTCTTTTTGAGTCTGGGATCTTGTTTTCTTTGGGTAAATTCCTAGGAATGGAATTCCTGGGTCAAATGGTATTTCTATTTTGAGTTTTTTGAGGAACCTCCATATTGCTTTCCACAATGGTTGAACTAATTTACATTCTCACCAGCAGTGTAGGAGGGTTCCCTTTTCTCTGCATCCTCGCCAGCACTTGTTGTTCCTTGTCTTTTGGATATTAACCATACTATCTGGTATGAGGTGATATTTCATTGTGGTTTTAATTTGCACTTCCCTGATAATTAGCATACATAGAATATTTTTAATCTGTATGACAACCCTGCAGGTTTGATTAACCCCACTTTACAATTAAGGCAACTTGAGGTATCTGCTGTGTTTTCACATTTAAGTTATGGAAAACTCACGGAATTTTAGAGATTATCTCTTTTCTTCAACCAATGAGGAAACCAAAGCCTCAAGAGATTAAATGCCATGGCCAAGATCTCTTGGCCAGCTCACTACAGAACTAAAGTAGACCCCAGGTCTCTTGATTTCCAGTGGAGGAGTAAATGCAGAACTAAGACTCCAATAAAATGAATTAGGCATAAGCTCTCTGGATGCTTGCATATAAATATTTAGGGATTCCCTTCCTCTAGTTCTGATTGGAGGGAAATCTAACACCACAGCCCTGCTGGAAACAGCTGTCAAGAAGCAACTCTCATCCTGGCTGTCCTTGCTGCGGCACTGCAATCTTTAGCAAGGCTGGTCATAAGACAGGCAGATCTGATATCAGATGCCAATGTCTCCTTTATTTCTACTAGTGTACTAGTTATATGGCTTTCATTGTCTATAACACCGTAATCTTATTACCATATGGTGGTTGCCATAGAGGAGGTGGGGATGGGTGAAATAGGTGAAGGGGGAAAAAAATTAGAATGTTTGAAATCTTGATCTGGGTAATGGTTGCAGGAGTGCATACACATGTCAAAGTGCATCAAGCTGTACATTGAGATGCATGCATTTTATTGTATGTACCTCAATTAAAATTATAATCTATTTCCAGTGGAGCTGCTGATGGCTTGCTATTCCTGGGCAGAAAAGTTATTTTAGTCTAGAGTGACCCCCCCCCTTGGAAATATGTGATGCATTCCAAGGGTTTGGTAGATGGAAATCTTAAAAGCAGAGTGGAATGCTTGATGTTGTCATAGGAATTCCATTACTGGGAAGGCTTTCAGCTAGGATGGTCAGTTATCAAAAAAAAACCATTAAGCTCCAGATATTTATGTGTTTTGACTGTGTTTATGCTGCCTTCATTTTGGTATCTTGATACTGAAAGGGAAGTGAAAAGCTAAAAGGAATTTTGCACACAGACCAAACTGCAGAACTACAGTCTTCCCTACGACTACAGTGATCTGATTGACGGCTTTTAGTTAACCAGGATACATAACTTGGCATAACTTTAAGGCAAACTCATGGTGACGAGCTGTGCCTTCTGCTGTAGGAGTCCATTAGGAGAATGGCTCCATCTGGGTGGGTCCTGGTCACCTTGGTGCATAGCATGGGACATGAGCCTGGAGGTCCCTTAGCTCTGAAGTGTGCTGTACCCCAGAAGATAGTCCTGCAGGCCCATCTTAAATGAAACCAGACTCCTTGGGCAGGGCCTGTGTAGATACCTAGTGACTCCGGAGCCTACATCCTGGGACCCCTGCTGTCAGGAACTGACCGCCGCAGAGCCACCACAGCCAGATCATCACGATGGTGTAGATCTGGGACAAGAAGGAAGGTGACCAAACAGAACTTCCAGATGAATGAAGAACTTGCCCTGGCCACTATACAGGACCTCTGCCATAAATAAATGCCTGCCATAAGCAGGTGAATACCCTCCTGAAGTTTCCCCCGGTCGGCTCCTGCAGTCAGACCAGGCCTCTGTGGTGAAGCGACATATAGTGCTGCCATGGTGTGGGTGGTAGAGGATCAGCAGGTGCCAGCCTGGTGCTCAGAGGGTGGGATTTGTGTTCCCTGAAGTAGAGGACTTGGGTTGGTCTATCATTTCTCACGTGAAGAGCAGCTGATCTGAGGAAGATTCTGCAGTGATGATGATTCTGCAATAATGAAGATTCATTCATTATTAACTCCATTTGTTTCATCCTACTTAACCTGCCACACTTTATAAGCCTTTACAACCATAGAAACCAAACCTTTTAAAGGTATAGGTATTATAGAGGTATTAGATATGAAGGCCAGCACCTTTTTTTGTTTTGTTTTTTTGTTCTATTAAAGTATCATTAATATACAATCTTATGTTGGTTTCAAATGTACATCACAGTGGTTCAACAGTCACCCATGATTAACTTATGCTGTGACTGTGAATTATTGTGCCCTTTTATCTCCCTGCACCTGCCCCAATCCCTCCCCTTGGTAACAACTAGTCACTTCTCAGTGTCTATGAGTCTATTGCTGTTTTGTTCCTTCTGTTTTGCTTTGTTTTTATATTCCATAAATAAGTGAAATCATATGGTATTTGCCTTTCTGCACCTGGCTTATTTTACTGAGCATAATACGCTCTAGCTCCATCCATGTTGTTGCAAATGGTAGGATTTCTTTCCTTTTTATGGCTGAATAATATTCCATTGTGTATATATACCACATCTTTATCCATTGATCCACTGATGGACACTTAGGTTGCTTCCATGTCTTGGCTATTGCAGATAGTGCATCAATAAACATAGGAGTGCCTTTGTCTTTTTGGATCTGGGATTTTGTTTTCTTTGGGTAAATTCCTAGGAGTGGAATTCCTGGGTCAAATGTTATTTATATTTTCAGTTTTCTGAGGAAACTCCATATTGTCTCCCACAATGGTTGAACTGATTTACATTCCCACCAGCAGTGTAGGAGGGTTCCACTTTCTCTGCATCCTTGCCAGCATTTGTTGTTCCTTTTGTCTTTTCGATGTTGGCCATCCTGACTGGTGGGAGGTGATATCTCATTGTGGTTTTAATTTGCATTTCCCTGATGATTAGTGATGTGGAGCATCTTTTCATGCCACCACTTTCATTTTTAAATGTTATTTTGAAATAGTTTAAAACTTATGGGGAAATTGAAAATACAGTATAAAGAGTTCCTGTATACCCTTTACCAGGTATTCTAATTATAACATTTTAACACACTTTGCCTATTTTCTCTGTCTCTTCATCTCAAATATAAATTTTTTGAGCCATTTGAAGTCACAGATATGAGGCCCATTATCCTTTATTACTTCAGTATTTCTTAAATACAAGGAAATTCTGTATAGTCATAGTAAAACTCTCAAAATTAGGAAAAGTACTATGTAATCTAAAGATCCCAAATTTTTCCAACTCTACCAATAATGTCCTTTAAAGGTCCAGAATCCAGCCCAGGATCACCAATTTGTTGTCATGTCTCCTTAGCCCCTTCCATCTGGAGCAGTTCCTTAGATCCGTTTTTCACAGCTTCCTCATTTTGAAGAGTATAGGATGTCCCTCAATTTCAGTTTTACTGTAACTTTTACTTAAATGAAATCCCTCGGAATCTTTTCTGTGTTGATACTAATGGATTGTTATTTTAGTGGTTGCCTAATATTCCACTGAATGAAAGGGCTGTATTCAACTAATTCCCTGTAAAAGGACATTTAACTTATGCCTAGTTTTCCACTGTATAAACCATATTGCAATTAGTAGTTCGGAGACACTTAACTGATTTTTATGAAGTGGAATTGCTGGGTTAAAGTGTGGAAATTTAAAATTTTGACACTATTGCCAGGTAGCCATCCTGAAAGATTGTATTTATTTATAATTCCGCTAATGATGCATGAGAATGCCTATCCCCAAACCAACCAACATCAGCCTCGGATATTTTCACTCTTAAATCTTGGTGAATCAAGCAAAACAAAACAAAACAAAAAATCATTTCTTTGATTATTAATGAGGCTGAGCATCTTTAAAGCTTATTTTGTCTGTTTCAATTTCTCTTGAGTTACCTTTGCCCATTTATCTGTTGGGCAGTTTCAGTTTTTACAATGATTTATCAATTCATGCCTAGACATTTAAGTCTTAAAGGAAAGACACATCATGTATTCATTTTAGAGCTTTGTTTGAATCACTGTCTTAATGGTTCTAATTTCTTACAGAAAACCGAGTTGCCTGGGAAAACATATCAAAATCAGCCACAGCAAGGTAACTGAGCAACTGTAGGCCAGCTCAGCCCCACGCAACTCTCTGGCACATAGCTTCAGCAATAGGAGGTGGGTAAAATGTGAGAAGTGCTAAGAGAAGAGAACAATTAAAAACACCCAGACTGCATTTTTCCCACTCAGTGTCTCTAGTTAGTTTCGGTATAGTTCTGGTCACCACAGAGCCATTTCCCACTAACTTGCTCTATTAATTCTTATTTCATTCCTTCCTTCAAAAGTATTTTGGATGGAAGAATGGACATGCCATAAATGTTGATCTGAAGATAGGTCTTAATTACTCAGCTTAAACTGCATCAGCAACCATCATTTACATTAGGTAAGAGCACTCAGTTTTCAGGCTAAGCCTCAGTGTAGGTTGGCAAGAGAAATTTTTTTTATTAAAGTATCATTGATATACAATCTTATGAAGGTTTCACATGAACAACATTATGGTTTCAACATTTACCCATATTATCAAGTCTTCACCCCCCCCACTGTAGTCACTGTCTATCAGTGTAGTAAGATGCTATAGTGTCATTATGGTGAGAGAAATTTGAAGATAGGAAATACTACTTCAGCTAATGTAGGCTTCTTCCTTTTCCATAATTCAAAGCTTACAGAAATAGGAGCAAAGAATCTGCATATGTCTATATTTGCAGCTTATATTTGATGCAGAACTCAAATCTCAACTGATAAAATGTGTCCATGAGGAAATATACAATGTTTACTGCAGGGAAGAGTCCTATGTAAGAAAGGTAAATCAGAAGCAAATACATTCAATCCTCACTTTTTAATCAATCAAATCCATCATTTAAGCAATTACAAGCAATAGTTATGGAAAGCCAAGTACAAGGTGCTCAGGCAGATATAAGACAAATATAACATGCTCTTGAGGAACATACAATCCAGTAGGGGAACAACACAGATAAACCGGAGACATGAAAGGACCATCCCTGAGAATGCTAAGTAGAGCACACATTATAGGTGGGGCAGCATTTCAGAGGAGGGCAAAATCACTGCTCCTGGGTCCAAGGGGAGCTGGGAGGGTGTGTCATCAGAAAGGCTTCATGGAAAAGTGGGCCTGGGGTTGGGCCTGGAGGGATGGTAAAGTCTGCAGAGGTAAAGGGGAGGTGGCGGATACCGGGCCCATGAGGCATGGAAGTGGCAGCTGCCAAGTGGAGGAAGCCTGATAAGGACTGTGCATATGGAGGGGGGCTGAGGGCGTGATGCTGCCCAGCAGACGCTGTGGCCGAGAGCAGGGAGTCACTGGGGGTCCAGAGCAGGGGGCATCCTGAGGGACTGGGATGTTATAATGCTCTGTCCCATGCCTAGCTATACTGGACTCTGAAGCAAAAGGAAAATTTAGTAATTTTGATCCTGTCTTTATTTAAAATGTTGCTATTTTGTTCACCATGGATTTTTTTTTGCATTAATTTTGATTTTTTAAAATATTGCACTAAAATTTTATTTTTTGATTATTGCATTTTTAGCCCAGGCAGGTGCTTCACTTGCCTCATCCTGTCCCAGCCTTGTGTTCTATTTCTGAGGGTTGGTGGGGACATGGGTATTTGTTTTATTTTACTAATTATAGCTTACTCATGTTATAAATATTCTTTGGTTAGTAGAAGGTATTAAATAAAAATAAGATAAAGGAACTAGAATTTTGAGATGATGGATTTAGAACTTTGGAGCCCAAAAAAGCATGACAAGGAAAAGAATCCCTTGTGCTTCCGAATCAATCTCTAGAATAACTCCCTTTTGCACACAAAGTGGGCAAAGGACAACTGGGGGGGCGGGCAGTGCCAGAAGCTGCTGTCCACTTGGAGACAGGCCCAAGCAACTCAGCTGCTATATAACCAGAGCGACTCTGATGCGTGGCCTGAGGCAAGCTGCCCTGAACAGGCCACGCAAGGAGGGCTTGGCCATGTCTCACATGCAACAAACTCGTCCAGCCGGGCCCAGAGAGAAGCTGTTTGCTGGGCCACAATGCTTATCACAGGGCCATGGCCCAAGAAGCAATGGAAGATTTACAAACTCTGGAAATGTCTCAGGGGGGCTTGTACCTAGGAGAAAAGGTGGCATTTGACACACAGAGGATTATGTGTACAACTAAAAATGTAAAATCTGAAAAGTCTGAAGTCTATTGTTTGTTAGTAAGCTGGAGACTGGTCAAAGACTATTTTGAGCCAGAGAAGTCAATGAGTGTGTGGCACAAATCTCCAAGAGGGCCAAGGGGCAGGCCGCCTCCTTGTGCTCATCACCAGGGGCTCTTCCCAGTCATTTGATGTGGACTTCCCAGTCAGCACCAATGTTCAGCGAGAGCTTCTCCAGGCTCAGGGTAGATGTTTTGGCACAGTATGTAAAAGCCACAGGTTGATCTTTACCATCTAAATATCAAGACAATAAAAAACATCTGATGAGCATCTAGGAGAGAACAATCTTTCTTTTGAATCTGAAATGTTTCTGACGATCATAAAACCTCATATCCCACTTAGGAGAATCCAAATTAATAGCACTTTTGCCTGTGAGTTCCCATGAAGTTTTAAAACATGAAACATTCCACTGTTTTCATTCCAATATTGGTGGAAAAGAAACTGTAAGGAACAAAGTGATTTGTCCAGGAAATTCAGTAGGTAAGAAAGGATGTATCCCATCCCATTCCCTTTAAGAAACTCCATAAACATGAGTGGGGTTCTCCAGGGTTTCAGATATCTACAGTTTAAAAAAATATTCAGAGACGCTACACTATTACTTCAAGCCCCAAATAATTTTCCTTAGAAAAATATTAACAGCTTACAGAACAGAAAGATCAGTTGATAAGGAGAAGCAGGATGGCCTCATTCCCTCTAGATACTAGCTTATTTGACCTCTATTAGAAAGTGTAGAGCCCACTCGGCTTAAGCATATTATGTCCATTTTAAGAACAATCATCATCTCTTCACTACAGACACTTCATTATTTACAAAAGCAAATGGCCTGTTTCCTCACCAGGTGAGTGGGTGGTCACAGCAGATGGCTGCTTCTTGAGGCCTAGGATAAAGATCTTCTCCACCACATGCTTGCTCGGATAATGACCCTTCTCATCAGCACAACTGAAACAGATGCAAATGGCATTAGGAAAAGATGAACAGAGGTTTTGACTGGTTACCAGGTCAATATTCCTGGCTTTATGCACTCCCCTCCCATCTTTTCCTACAGAGGCACGAACCATATAGCTGTCATATTTATTAGGAAAAAGAGATGGAAAAGATGACTCTATGTGCTGAAGGCTAGCTAGTCACTAGCCAAACCAATCTCTCTTCAACAAGACATTTGGGGAGAAATCACCTAAGGATCCAGAAGTCATAAATATGACTTGGACATTGCAATCAACTGTAAGAAATCAGATACTCAATTATTAAATAGATGAATAAATGGGATTAATGGGAACTTAAATAGAACTCTTCTTATTTTTAAGAGAAGAAAAGGAAAATGAACAATAAGGAAGGGAGGGTCATGGAGTGATTGAAAAAATACTCCAGGAGGACTCCAGACCAAAAGGGCAACTAAAGAGGCTCCTGAATTTCCTTCTCCCCATGGATGCACTGGATGTAAAGCTGAAAATGGAGTGATTCCCTTTGAGAGAAATCCAGAAACTAGCTAAGTGACTCCTAGACATCCAGAATCTCATGATGGGTAGGAAAGGCTGAGATCCATTCTTACCATAACCCTCATCCCTGTCATGGTGCCATACAACTGAGAACAGATCCCTAACTCCCAGCTTCTTGCAGAGTGAAGGGTTTGGACCACACTTTTAGCACTCCATGTTTTAAGGCTCCCACCCAAGGGATGGGACCTCAAATCACCTAGCTCTGATAGCCAACAGAGTTTGCATTCACAAGTCCCACAGGATGATAGCAAACAAAGAAGCAGTTGTTAATGGATGTGATGCAGCAATCCCCCAAGGCTCAGAGCAGAGAAAGCAGGCAAAAGCACCCATCTCCCAGTTTTTCCTTGGAAGGGGTTTGACTACATAATTTCCCAGTTACTGCCTGAGAGACAGCCTATATAACTAAGGGCTGACTGCTATCCTCCCCTTTGGGACACTGATGGGTCTTGGCACACCCGCAACTACCAGGAGCCACTACAAAGAAAGATGACAGCATGGATAAACAACATGCTACTGAACAACCAATGGGTCAAAGGAGAAATAAAAACATACTGTGAGACCAATGAAAATGGAAATACAACATACCAGATCTGTGGGATGCAGCAAAAGGAGTTGTAAAAGGGCTGTTCATAGTAATAAACGCCCACCCTTAAGAAACAAGAAAAATCTCAAGCAAACAACCTAATTCACACCTCAAGGAGATAGAAAAGAAGAACAAAGCCCAAAATTAGTAGGAGGAAGAAAATAACAAAGATCAAATGGAAATAAATGAAATAGAGACTAAAAAGACAATATAAAAGATCAATGAAATTAAGCTGATTTTTTAAAAAAGATAAACAAAAATTGATAAACATTTAGCTAGACTCACCAAGAAAAAAAGACAGGACTCAAAGCAAATCAGAAATAAAAGAAGATATGTTACATTTGATACCACAGAAATACTAAGGATCATAAACTACTATGAACAGTTAGTTATACACCAGCAAATTGGATAAGCTAGAAGAAGTGGATAAATTTCTAAATGATTCATGTAGAAACAAATATTGTTTCTGATTATTGTAGCATGAAGAAACAAAATCTTAACAAATTACTAGGAAGGAGATATGGTATCAGTAATCCAAACCTCCTAACAAAGAAAAGTCCAGGACAAGATGGCTTCACTGGTGAATTCTAACGAACATTTAAAGAATTAATACCAATCCTTTTCAAATTCTTTTAAAAAGTAGAAGAGGAAGGGACATGTCCAAACTCATTTTACAAGGCCAGCATCACCCTGAAACCAAAGCCAGTAAGAAAATTACAGGCCAATCTCCTTGATGAATACAGATGCAAAAATCCTCAACAAACTATTAGTAAACTGATTTTAACACCACACACTGTGATCAAGTAGGATTCATTCCTAGAAGGCAGAGATAGTTTAATATAAGCAAACCAATAAATGTGATATATCACATTAACAACAGGAAGGATAAAAATCCTATGATCATTTCAGTAGATGCAGAAAAAGCATCTGACCAAATTTAACACCAATTTATGATTTAAAAAACTCTCAACAAATAGTGGCAACATACTTCAACATGATAAAGACCATATATGGGAAACTATACAAAAGTTAGTATCATACTGAAAGATCAAGAATAAGCTGAGGATGCCCATTCTTGTCACTTTTATTCAACATAGTACTGGACATCCTAGCCAGAGCAATTAGGCAAGAAGAAGAAGTAAATGACATCTGAATTGGAAAAGAAGAAGTAAAACAATTTTTGTTTGCAGATAACATGATACTATATGTAGAAAATCCTAAAGACTCTACCAAAAAACTGTTAGGACTAATAAACAAAGTCTGTAAAGCTGAAGGATACAAAATCAATACACAAAAATCAGTTGCATTTCTATACATTAACAATGAACAATGGAAAGAGAAATAATCCCATTTACAATAGTGTCAAAATAAAATGCTCAGGAATAAATTTAATCAAGGAGGAGAAAAAGCTATATACTGAAAACTATAAGGCATTGATAAAAAAATAGAGGAAGACTCAAATAGAAAGATATTCTGTGTTCATGGATGGAAGAATTAATATTGTGAAAATATCTGCACTACTCAAAGCAATCTACAGATGCAGTGTAATACCTATCAAAATTCCAAAGGCATGTCTCACAGAATTGAGAAACAAGCCTAAAATTCACATGGATCCACAGAAGACCCCACACAGCTAAAACAATCTGAAAAATAAAACAAAGATGGAGGCATCATAATTACTGACTTCAAACTATATTACAAAGCTATAGTAACCAAAACAGTACAGTAATGGCCTAAAAACAGACATAGATCAATGGAACAGAACAGAGACACAGAAATAAACCCATGCATACTGGTCAATTAATTTTTGACAAACGAGCCAAAAATATAAAATGGGGAGAAGACAGTCTCTTCAATAAATGGTTTTAGGAAAACTGGATATCCATATGCAAAAGAATGAAACTGGACCTCTATCTTATACCATCCACAAAGATCAATACAAAATGGATTAAAGAATTGAATGTAAGACCTGAAACCATAAAACTCCTAGAAGTAAATATAGGGGGTAAGCTCTTTGACATTGGTGTTGGTGATTTTTTGGGATTTAGCACCAAAAACTTTTTTTATACCAAAAATAAAATAAACAAGTAGGACTACATAAAACTAAAAAGCTTCTGCACAACAAAGAAAACCATCCACAAAATGAAAAGGCAACCTATAGAATGGGAGAAAATATTTGTAAGCCACATATCTGATAAAAGGTTAATATCCAACTATATAAGGGACTCATACATAAATATCCCAATTAAAAAATGGGCAAACAACACGAATAAACATTTTCCCAAAGATGATATGCAGATGGCGAATAGGTAAATGAAAAGGTGCTCAATATCACTGATCATCAAGGAAATGCAAATCAAAACCACAATGAGGTATCACCCCATACCTGTTGGAATGGCTACCAGCAAAAAGACAAAAAATAAGTGTTGATGAGGATGTGGAGAAAAGGGAACTCTTGTACACCATTGTTGGGAATGTTAACTGTATGACTGCTATGGCAAACAGTATGGAGGTTCCTCAAAAAATTAAAAACAGAACTATCATATGATCCAGCAATCCCACTTGGTATATATCTGAAGGAAATGAATCACTGTCTGGAACAGATATTATTCAATACAGTATTATTTACAATAGCCAAGATATGGAAGCAACCTTAGTGTCCATCAGTGAATGAATAGATAAAGAAGATGTGGTATACAGAGACAATGGATTATTATTTAGCCTTAAAAAAGATGGATATCCTGTCATCTGTGACAACATGGATGAGCCTGGAGGTCATTATGCAAAGTGAAGTAAGCCAGACAGAGAAAGCCAAATCCTGCATGATATCACTTATATGTGGAATGTTTAAAAAAAAAAAGAAAGTGTTGACCTCAGAAATAGAGAGTAGAATGGAGGTAGCCGGGGGCTAGAAGATGGGAGAAATAGGGAGAAACTAGAAAAAGGGTACAAACTTTCAGTTACAAGATAAATAAGGCCTGAGGAGCTAATGTATAACATGGTAACTATAGTTGATAATACTGTATTGTATAACTGAAATTTGCCAAGAGTAGAACTTAAGTGTTCTCTCACTAAAAAAAAAAAAAGGATAAATATGTGAAGTAAAGGATGTGTTAATTGACTTGATGGTGGGACTCCTTTTACAATGTATACATACATCAAATCATATTATACACCTTAAATATATTACAAATTTATTTGTCAATTATATCTAATGAAGCTGAAAAAAGATAAATACTGTGCAAATGGCCTTCATCAATAATTGCATTTGAGGATAGCAAGAAGATGGCAATATTTATTTAAGAAAGCACATGGCTTTTTAGCTGTCATTACCTGTTCATTAAAACATCTGAACAGAATGAAAACTTCCTGTGCAAGAATTGCTTCTGGTGGAGGTATTGGAATGAATGGCCATCGTCCAAATAGAATTCACCCATGGCAGAACCCTGGGGAGAGAAAAAATAACAGGCGGAGAATGTGTTTATATAACTGTTTTTTAGGAAGAGAATGTCACCTCTTAAAGGAAAATAATAGATAAAATATCTGTGAAAAATAATGTTGAACAAAAGCTTAATATTCAAGCTGTACAAAGTAATCATACAAATATATACATCCAATACCCATTAGTGAAATAATATGAATAAGGAAGTCACATAAGAGAGGCATGAAGAGTTAGGCCTTGCTGGAAGATATTTAATCCAGGAAGCATGGTCAGTGGCATAGGCAGCTTCTCTGAAAATACTATCCTAGAATGCGACAATAGGGCAAGGAAAGGTCACAGAGTGAAACTGAAGTTAAAAAAAAAAGAGTATGTAATGGATGAGATCAACTATCTTTAGAGGACCCTGCATTTAGAGAATGATATCTAGTTTCTACTTACTTTTAGTAGGTGGACCCCTTTTGCATGTCAAACAATGTCATAGCATTCCATACGGCAGTTTACTGTCACTGATAAAGCCTGATCTGCTATGGATCCCAAGTCTCGCATTTATTCTATGGCCTCGCATGGGCCTGACGCCCATAGTTTGGCCCAAGAAGACATGTCTAAGTGAAATTGATGGAAAAGAAAGATGGAAGAAAAAGAAACCTAAATTATTTTATAATATTTGCATAACAGTAAGAATTTGTGTTCGGTTCTGTATTTGGGCAAATGGATAGGAAAGGAATTTGCTACAGGTCTCATTTGGCTCAAAAGATCTTCTCAAAAGGACAGATCAATTCTGGATCCTTCCAGGACTTAAGCTGTTTGAGCTATCTGAGGAGATGTCATTGTGTGGGGATGGTGTCCCTGAAATGTTGCACAGACACAGGTACCCTTTTACAGGAGAGTGAACTTTAGGGTGTGGCAGGCTGCCCACGGCCCAGGGAGCTTTCAGAAAGTCCAGGGGTAACAAACGCCAAGCTGCACAGCACCAAGGGTCACAGTGCCCCAGAGGAAATTTTCTCATTTCTAGTTCTCAGAGTTCCTTTAAGAACAATTCTAGGCAAGTCAGACAAGCTGCACAATGATTCAGTGGTTCAAAATTTTGATTTCCACACAAACATCAGAAGCACCTGCCCCACAGATGGGGTTCATCATTTTTACACAGTATCACACTCAAAAGGCTACCACCGTAAAGAGAGTAGTAACAAATGAGATGTGTAAAGGTAACATTTTCCAAATACCTTAGGGCTTAGAGCCACCCGGAGTCCATATGGGGAATCGGTCATGCACCCTGTGGATTTTCCTACAGTTGTCTTGATTGGTACTATACTTCCACCTCGCTGAAACACTGGTATCTACAACAGAGCAACACTCTCAGGTAGGGAGTATTCATACAAGACAATTTCAAAGTAGAATTTTACAGTGTTTCATTGTACATGACTCACATTCTTTACAAGTATAGACTCAAAGATAAAATAAATTTGTGAGCACAGAAATGGCAAATAGAGGGGCTCTGGCATAAAAAGGAAAACTGGTCCATTTTTTAATTAGACATACTGCTCATCCTTCATCAATTTATTACTCTGCCTATCCTATAAGTAGCCTTTCCTGTTCCATTATTTTTAATTTTCCTGTCACTATAATAAATAAGTTTATTTCTAGGGCCCTGCTAAAGCATGGACTTTTCTGTCTGTGTAAGCAGGCCCACGTGTATGAGTATATAAAATGTGATCGTTTCTTGGTTTGGACGAGATGACTTTTGTCCTTACTACAGCCCATATCCTTCTTGCTCCCTGTTTCCCTGGATCACCAGGATGACTGACTCAGTTCTGAGGGTAAATCTGTGAAAATGTCATCAAGGGCACTTTAAGTGACTCTAAGGACAGGGCTGCAGGCATGACCCATACCTGTGAGTCTTGTGGGATGGCACGCCCAGCAGGGAAAGCCCAGTAAATTTCCTGCCTCCCAGTACAATCCTCAGTAAGGAAGCTCCCTGGATCATGTGAGGGCTTGTACTTCACTCTAAGTAAAGTAGAAGCAGGGAAAAGGGTACAAGAATAAATGAAGGTGGGAGTGAGGGTGGCGTGTTAAGACGTCCACCCTCTGCTTGACTCACAGTCAGCACATCTCTCTCCCAACCCTCATCAGCCAATCTCCTTCTCCTCCTCTTTTCTCAAAGAATGAAGTAGTGAGTTAGTATGAAATGGGCTCTGAAGTGGGAGTCCTGCTGACCTGAGGTCTCAGCTCAGTTTCGCCACAGTCTAACTAAAACCCTGAACAAGCAATTTAACTTCTCTGAACTTGAAGTTTCTTCACCTGTAGGGATGAGGGATTAGAATAGATGCATGTAAGAGGAATTAGAGTAGATGAAGGTTCTCTTCTAGATCTGAAAGTTGACATCTAAAATCATTTTCTTTATAATGGAGTTCAATATTGATGCTGACTATTTAAAAAAATAACATCAGTATCTATTTATTGATCTTCACACTACTTAGGACCTGGGGTAGTAGTTGTGATTCAGCTGCAGGAGCAAACTTCCCTCCAGAAATTCAGTCTGGCTGGGCTGCTCTGATTCTAACATCATAACTGATGGCATTCCCTTGGGCTTAAGAAATCCAGGGTTACAACTAAAACCTCATGTTTTCTGACTTGATCCTCTACAAGGACATTCTGTATGGCATGTGTGGTGGCTACCATGTTTACTCTCTGTTTTCAGTGTTATTATTTTTCTTAGACTTACACATATAAATATATGGGGAAGAGTTCTTGGTCCTTGATGTTTCACACTGTAAAATTGAAGTACAGTTGATCCTTGAACAACATGGTTTTGAACTGTATAGGTCCAATTACATGCAGATTTTTTCAATAAGCAAATTGGAAAATTTGTTAGAGATTTATGCCCATTTGAGAAAACATTTTCTTCTCTCTAGTTTACTTTATTGTAAGAATATAGTATATAAAACACATAGCATACAAAATGTGTTAGCTGACTACTTATGTTATCAGTAATTCTGGTCAAAGCAGGCTATTAGTTAAGTTTTTGGGGAGTCAAAAGTTATATGTGGATTTTTCACTTCATGAAGGATTGGCACCCCTAACCCCCATGTTGTTCAAAGGTCAACTGTATATTATTTTTATGCTTTTTCTCACATTTTAACAGCTTTATTAGGAGTAATGCAACCATCATCACAATGAATTTTTTTATTAAAGTATCATTGATATACAATCTTATGAAAGTTTCACATTAACAACATTCACCTATATTATCAAGTCCTCACCCCCCTATTACTGTCACTGTCTTTCAGCATAGTAAGATGCTACAGAGTCATTACTTGCCTTCTCTGTGCTGTACTGCCTTGCCTGTGACCTACCTACATTGTGTGTGCTAATCATAATCCCCCCTAAACTCCTTCTCCCTCCCTCCCCACCACTCCTCCCCACCCTATTACCTTTGGTAACCACTAGTCCCTTCTTAGAGTCTGTGTGTCTGCTACTGTTATGTTCCTTCAGTTTTGCTTTGTTGTTATACTCCACAAATGCGGAAAATCATTTGGTACTTGTCTTTCTCTACCTGGCTTATTTTGGGAGGGTTTGTTTTCTTCTTATGGCTGAATAATATTCCATTGTGTATATGTACCACATCCTCTTTATCCATTCATCTATTGATGGGCACTTAGGTTGCTTCCATATATTGGCTATTGTAAATAGTGCTGTGATAAATACAGGGGTGCATGTTTTTTTGAATTGGGGATCTTGTTTTCCTCAGGTAAATTCCTAGGAGTGGAATTACTGGGTCAAACTGTATTTCTGTTTTTAGTTTTTTGAGGAACCTCCATATTGCTTTCCACAATGGTTGAACTAATTTTACATTCCACCAGCAGTGTAGGAGGGTTCCCCTTTCTCTGCATCCTCACCAGCATTTGTTGTTCCTTGTCTTTTAGATGTTGGCCATCCTAACTGATGTGAGCTGATATTGCATTGTGGTTTTAATTTGCATTTCCCTGATGATTAGCGATGTGGAACATCTTTTCATGTGCATGTCAGCCATCTGAATTTCTTCTTTGGAGAAATGTCTGTTCAGATCCTCTGCTCATGTTTTAATCTGGTTTTGGATTTTTGGGTGCTGAGGCGTATTAGCTCTTTATATATTTTGGATGACTTACCTTATTGGATGAGTCATTCATGCATATATTCTCCTATACTGTAGGATGCCTTTTTATTCTGCTGATGGTGTCCTTTGCTGTACAGAAGCTTTTTAGTTTGATGTAGTCCTATTTGTTCATGTTTGTTTTTGTTTCCCTTGCCCAAGGAGATATGTTCAGGTAAAAGTTGCTCATGTTTATATTCAAGAGATTTTTGCGTATGTTTTCTTCTAAGAGTTTTATGGTTTCATGACTTATATTCAGGTCTTTGATCCATTTCAAGTTTACTTTTGTATATGGAGTTAGACAATAATCCAGTTTCATTCTCTTACACGTAACTGTCCAGTTTTGCCAACACCAGTTATTGAAGTGGCTGTCGTTTCCCCATTGTATATTCATGGCTCCTTTATCATATATTAATTGGCCATATATGCATCACAATCAATTTTAAAACATTTTTTTAACCCCTAAAAGAAACCCTGTACCCATTAGCAGTCACTTCCCATTGTTCTCCAAGGTATGTCCTGCCCTAGCCCTAGGTAACCACTAATCTCCTTTCTGTCTCTTTATGTCTGTGCTATTATGTAGAACACAAATGTCCTTAGTTCTTTCTATGTAGGCATATGTTACAGACTGAATGTTTGTGTATCCCCCAAATTCATATCTTGAAGCCCCAATACCCAATGTGGCTATATTTGGAGAAAGGGCCTTTACAGAGTAATTAAGGCTAAATGACATGATAAGAGTGAGGCCAGGGATTAACGTCTTCATCATAAGAGACACCAGAGAGCCCACTCTTTCCCTCCACCATGGGGGGACACAGCAGGCCAGAGGCTGTCTAAATGCCAGGAAGAGAGTCCTCACTGGGAATCAGATGGGTCGGCACCTAGATCTGGGGCTTCTAGCCTCTAGAACTGTGAGAAAATAAATTTCTGTTGAGTAAGCCACCCAGTCCAAGGTATTTTGTTATGGCAGCCTGAGAAGAATAATGGAGCACAATAGATAAAAATAATTGCGTGAAAATAACTTACTGTGTCCAGGGCTACTGGGATCTTTACAGTACGTGCGCCCTCCCAATAAGCAAATGTCTTAGAGCCATACCAGACCTGAAAAGGAAAAGAGCCCAATGGAAAGGAGTATATGAGGACCTGTGCTCACAATTTCATTATTCAGTAAAACATCGTGTATCTGGATTTCAAATAACCAGAAAGCTAAAATATGTATAATTTCTTTAAAAACTCTTGAGTAGAAGTTAGGAAGAACATACACTTTAAAGAAGATCCCTAAGGACTAACCTAGTACTGAAATGGATTAAAGTTGAGCAAAAAGGCCACTCACGTATCCATCCATTCCAACTAAAAGTTACTGAACAACGTACCATGTGCCCAGCACTGCTGGGCGCACACGAGTGAAAGGAAAGGCATAGTTTCTGCCCTCATGGATCTTGTAGTCCAGTTAGCTTATAAAATCTTAAAGTGTTTACTAGTAAAAAAAGATAATGGAAGAGAAAAAAGGCAACAACAAAGAGGAAAGGCATATGGCAAGCAAATAAATCACAAATGAGGCAGGAGAGAAGGAAAGTGTCAGAGAAGGAAACGGATCTGGGAGAAAAACAAATGGCAACTTGAATCACTACCTTAGTATCATTTTTTATCAGAGTTCAATTCAGGGATGAGGTTCAAACTCTTATTTGGGATCCCTGCCAATGGGGTTTAGCTGCTGAAGTACCAAAAAGATCGTACAAAGTAATGTGGTGGGATAAATCCTGAAGATACCATCAGAAGTACCATGAAAACAAAACCTCTTCTCTCTTCTAGTCAAGTACAGTTTCTGGCAGTCATAGTGTCTATTTTGCAAGTTGACCTCCTGGGATTACCATGTCCTTTATATAGATGGGCTGCCGAGTCCGTCAGGTCCTGCTGTGAATGTGAGAGGGCTGTGACCTGCCCATGATTAGCTGCAGTGACCTCTAAATTCAACAGGACCAACCCCACTGCGTCATGATGTATTATCCTTGGCTGGATTCAGTTTGCTGATGTTTTGTCAAGGATTTCTATGTGCTTATGAGGGATATTGTCTTAGTGTCCTTTTCTTCTAATGTCTTTATTTAGCAAATTGCAGTAGCTTTAGATAAAGAGCTGGTGACAGTGAAGGGTAAAAAAAAAACAGATTCAAACAAGATTTGGGGATTAGCTGTCTACCATTTTCAGAGGTACTTAGAATGTGAGGTGTAAGGTATCGTGCTCTGGTGCCATATACAGAGATCTCAGCCTAGAGTATGATCGGTAAAAAAAACACAAAACACCATATAGATTAGACTGAGCATTCAGTCACCAAGCTCCTCACCCAACAAGTACTTACTGAAGGCCTACTATGTGCCAGGTACCCTTCTAGACATGGGGATAAAGCAGTGAGCATATAGATAAAAATCACCGCCCTCAAGAAGTTAGAAGGAGAGACAGATGATAAATGAAACATATGTCTATAGACTGTTAAAGGTGGCATGTTTTATAGAGAAAAAAGATGGAGGAGGGCTGGACAATACCAGTGCAGTGGGAATGGTTTGAATTGTCAGTAGATTGTCAGAGAAGGGCCTTACTGAGGCCTTACATAGCAAAGACTTGGAAGGAGAGGGAAACAGGGGGCAGAGTGACAGTGAGGGACACTAGCTGGCCTCATGTATGGTGTGATGTGGTACTAGCTAACTGAGGTAAAGGTCTGGCAAGGAATGTCCTGGCTCTTTTACCCAGGGTTTGTAAAGATGTAGGGAGAGGAAAAAAAAAATCACAGAACACTCTGGGAAATAGTGTTGAAGGAACGTACTATTGTCATAACAATGTGCTTGTGATGATAACAGGTCACTAGTAAAAACTTGGCTCCATCAGAAAGGGAGCTATTTCCTCTTAATGAGACCCTACTGCTTTGTTAGGGTCAACCTGAGAAGCTCTCAGCAGAAAGCCTGGCAGGAAAATTTATTTAGCTGTTGTATTTACCTTTTTTACAGGTTTTTACTTGGCAAGGGAAGCTTTGTAAAGAGCCCTCACCTTCAGAACTACAAATTATTGGAGCGACCAAGAGGAAGAACGTAATTCATGAACATTCTGGAGAAAACCTAGTTATTATAATATTAATAATGACAAATGAAGTGGGCTCAATGGTAGGTCCTCAAAAAGACACATGCACTTTCTAATCTAGAAAGGAGTGACCATTACCTTCTAAGTAACAGATTTAACAGATCTAACTAGGAGAGAATATTACCTTCTATAATAATACAGCCTGCTGTGTCCTACAGAGATGCTCCAGTGCTCAAGGACTCTCTCTTTGGGTCTGTCTGCTTCTATAGTGACAGATTTGACTAAGTTAAGGATTTTAAGGAGATGATCTGGGATTATCCAGGTGGGCCCTAAATGTCATCAAAAACAAGCATCCTTAAAGAGAAACAGTTAAGGAGACACAGACACATGAGGAGAAGGCACTGTGAAGGTGGAGGCCCATGCCGGAGTGATGCAGCCACAAACCAAGGGATGCCAAGGACTGGGCAGCCACTAGGAGCTAGAGAGAGGCAGGGAACAGGTGCCCCTTCAGGGCCTCCAGAAGGAACGATCCTGTCAACACTTGTATTTTAGGTGTCTGGCCTCCTGAACTGTGAGAGAATCAATTTTGTTGTTTTAAGCCACCAAGTTTGCAGGAATTTGTTACAGCAGCCTTAGGAAACTAACACAACCACCTGACACACAGAGCAGGACGGAGGGTAAACACTGCACTGCACATGCTCTCGTGGTATTGCCATGCTGTGCCTGACAGTACTGAGCAGCAAGCTCGCCTCAGCTCCACTACCTCACTACCTGCCTTGACAGTCCAGGAATATACTTCATGGTTCTTCTCAGGCCTGCTGTGTCCTACAGCGATGCTCCAGCGCTCAAGGACTCTCTCCCTGGGTCTGTCTGCTTCTCATTCTCCATTCCATACCCTCTTTCCCTGGTCTAGTGCCCTGAGTTCCGCCTGTCTCTCCTCCTAGCCTCTTTGGATATAGCCTGGGTCTGTTGCTGGAGACTGCTGCTCTTGTTACCCAAGCTCTCTGCTCTATAGCCCATGGGTTAGTCCCACCTCTCCCTGGTGCCTCATCTGGGTTCAGTGCCCTGGGCCCCTGTAGGGCCAGGATGGTATTTCACACAGTGATAGCAATCAATGACCATAACCAATAACAGAGCGGAGGAAGCTGGAGAGGTACAGAGGGAGGTCACTGCTGTTACTTTTTAGTTATGCTGGCAAGAGTCTGGAGATGCTTTTGGTGCCAAAAACTCAGGATTCGGACAGAGCCAGAACCAAACAGCAAAGTCTCTTCATACTCATGTTTCTCTCCAGAGTCTGGTACTTCACAACAGACTCAAGTTTCCTTCCTACCCAAAGCCTCAGTGTGTTTACAAGGAGTCATACAAGTCAAAGTGTGAAGATAAAGCACTGCTCTGGTCCTTGGGGTTGTCACCCATTCACCTGTCTCCCCACACTTCCACTGGGCTTCTAGACCTCCGAGGACAACAGACGTGACTTACAGGGATCTTCAGTTGCTGTCGTCATTCGGCCTGTCTTCACAAGCACATGATGAAGAGCCTATTTCCTAACAGGGGCTAATTCATCAGAGTTAAGGGATGAGATATGAGACATAAGATACATATGTGGCCGTTTGTCATTTATTCTTACCTCATTTGATCCTGGCAGAAACACATCAACTGTGGTGGCTTTTGGTTCTGTGACTGGGTGAACCAACAAAGCACTTCCTGAAAAATGGAGAAGGAAAAAAGTTAATTATTATTATAGAAGGTCTGAAAATACCCTTCCCTGTTAACTGGGTGCTTTTGTGGTTTTAAAGACCACTCAAATGTGGACTTCCTGAAGGTAGACACCTTGGTGAGCTAGCCCATGATTCGTCCGGGAGATGTGCTGCTAGTAAGAGGGCAGGTGCTCAGAGAGGGACCGAATCACTGCCTATGAGTGACCTACTATGGCCTGCTGGGGTGACAAGGAGGATCCCGATCCTATCTGTCAGCCTCGTTTTGTGCACAGCTCCTTGTGTGCCAGTCTGAAAGCACCACTGCCCTTCTCTGGGTGCTTCATGTCTGCTTCAGGTGACTCTGAAGGTGGTAAGCCTATGGTTATTGTCCAGAACTGGTGTGAGCACAGACACTCAGTGCCTCCTCCCTGGGCAGTTATTATTGAGAGGGCTGTAATTCTCTTAAAGGCAATCTGGATTGTTAATTTTTTAGACTCTGGCACCACATGTATGTAAAATTCATCTATTTATGTATTCACTCTCTAAGCCAGCAAGTATTTATGGAGTTCCTGCTGAGTGTCAGGCACTGTGTTAGGCTTTGGGATATAGTGGCAAGTAAGGCAGACATGGTACCTGCCCTTGTGGAATTTATAGTCAGTAAAGACAGATACTAAACAAGGATTACACATTAATTAGACTTAAGACAAATATGAAAAAGGCAAAAGTACAAAAATGGAAGTGAAAGTTATGTAATAAGAGGGACTGACTGGACTAAGGCAGGTGGAATTAGGTATTAGGAACCAATTTTGGTCAGGGAAATTTTCTCCAAGGAAGTAGCTTTTTCAACTGAGATGTAAGGATGTGTGGAGACCTGAAGAACTAGCTAGGTCTTTTACATTTTGAGGTTTCTATTCTTTAGAAACAGGATTCACCTTTTGGGAAACTCTCTGGTGAGCCTTGTTTCTTAAGCCCTATTCCCAAGATGATACTTCTACATTCTGGATTTGGTGGTTAACACTTGTTAAAGTAGAAGCCAAAAAAAATAAATATAAAAATCCTATTATGCCTATGAAATAAGCTCTTTGGGTTTTTACTATAACCTTCTAGTCTACTTTTTTCTACTTCCCTTCCCTGTAGTGGTGTGACAAGGCTCAGAGTGGACCCGAAACAAGAATGCCAAATCACCTCCCCAAACAGAATGGATTAATATGAAGTTAACAGTATTATGAGAAATGCTACATGATAACCAAGAAAAGCTGATTCCACTCATAATACTAAAAATCTTGGTGATAGAATGTCTCTTCATTTTAGTTTTTGGCTTTCTTGAGATAGGGATTTTTTTTTTAGTGCTCTTACACTAGAAAATACAATAATGAAAACATAATGAAAGTGTTTATCAGAGCTATAATTAAGAAATGTTCACCCAGCATGTATTCGTCTTCCACACCAAAAGTCTCTAATTCATTAGGGAACTCTGTCCACAGAGGCCTGGAGAAAGGAAAAAAATATTTACTTCAGCATCATTACATGTTTTATTATAATTCGATCACTTATATTTTCAGCTTTATAGCTATTCAAAGGAAATTAGAAAAAACCAACAAGATTTTCATATGATTCAAGATTTTATGAGCAATTGTTTCGATTACCATGTTTTTCTTATGTTAAAGAGCTATCTATTAGCTTCAATGTTCCAGTGAATTTATCTTTCCTTCTGATGGCTGAGTGCTAAATACAACTCTGACAGTCAGAATCAGAGCTTTGTGCAAGTCCAAATGCCTAGTTTGGTGTAAAATAAAATGTCTGTAAAACCGTATTTTATAATGATGTAAAGTCTGTGCCATTTTTTCATGCTCTCAGGCAACCTTCATCATTACCTATGTAAGTGAAAAGAAATGCCTTTTTTTGTTCAAGCTGGCAACATTTTTGCAGGGTTGAGAAACTGTTGTGTGGTTGTGGGTTTTATTTTATTATTATTGTAGTATACAACTATCTAGGAGGCATTTAAGTTAGACAAATGATAAAACTTTCAATATCTATGTATCTGGATATCAACTTAATGGTTCTAATAATTTTTTCAATTTCATGAGGAAAAGATATTGTTTAATAAGAACTTATTTTTATTCACTCTTTGTAATGACATATTACTTCCCTGTTTTATAGTAACAAGCAGTGGTCTCTAAACCTGGCAAGTGTCTAGAATCATCAGGGAAACTTCTAACAAACAGGGATACCTGGGACTCACCCAAGGAGATTCCTAGTGGGTTTGAAGGTGTGGTTTTGGAATTTTATTTTAAAAAAACTCCCCAGGTGATTCTGATCCGAGCCAGGTTTAGGAACTGATCTAGAAGTCTTGGTGGTCTATGTGTGTCTCTGTGTATATCATTCTCTAACACAGAAGGTTGGTTTTTCACCTCCTGCCTTCAGAATATAATCTGAATATAATTTAGACACCAGGAAAAATGTTCACCTCAGACTTGGAATGGTTCAGCCCTCAGGGTGAGAGAGAGCCTAAGACTGGCAGGATGGGCTGTTCTTCCTAAGAGGGTGTTTGTGGGTAAAACACCAAATGAATTCAGTTACAAAAGCACTTCCTTTCTCTTTGAAAAACTCTTATCAAATATTAATATGTGAATCACAGAAAAGCAGGGGATCTAGTTATTATCTTCTGTGACCTCAACTGCCTGACTCTGCACAGTTGGCGCTAAGCACATTGACACTTGATTATGAGACTGACGCGCTGCCTACCATGCTAAGGAGGCAACTTCACTGACACTTGATTAAACACAGGTTTTTTTTCTTCACTGTTTCTTTTGAAATCACCGTGTAATTACTCCATTCCCTATGGCCAAGGGGATCTTCTGGTATAGACTGGCTATTGGGGGCCCTGACTGGCGAAGCCCACTTACCTCACGACAGGTTCGGCAGCCACATGTGCACGGTAGAAGAGAGAATACCAGTAGGGCAGCAGGGTGTAGCGCTCTTTGACAGCTTCTCGGATGAGCTGGGTGTGTCGCTCCCCGAAGAGCCAGGGCTCCCGCCGCTTGGTGTTCATGGTGGCGTGGCCACGGAAGAAGGGCTGGTAGGCCCCGGCCTGGTACCAACGCACTAGCAGCTCTGCCTCCGGATTCCCGATGAAGCCCCCTACATCAGCTGATTAGTCAGTCAGAGAAGGCTGAGTGAGGCAACAGACTTCCAGCAAATGATGCACACAGCTAAAACAAAGCCTTGAAGACAGAGCGCCGAATGTGCACGCAGAATGATGGTAAAACTGTGGCCTCAAATTAGGGGGCACATACTAAAAACTCAACTTGTTTGGGGGTCTGACAACCAGCTCTTTGAATATTCCTATCTTGTCAAAAGGTCAGAGACTTTACTGCAAGATCAACATTTCCATATGTTCCCAAATCCAGGTAACCCAGAAATTACAAGATGTCTGAGTTTAGGGATGGGGTGGGTGTTGGTAATTGATGTCCTTTGAAAGCAACAGCTGAAGTGAGATAAAAATTACAGAAAGAACCAAAGAGAAAACATAATCAGAATCAGAGGTTTAGGTAGCATTTCATGCTTAGCCCTTAAGCAGGATACATATTCCTTGTACTGTATGTAGACCAATGCCATAAAGATCACATATATCAAAAAGTGATATTAAGTTGCTCTATTCCTACAGAAAACAAGGAGGAGCTGGAATTGTAGCCATGCTGAGCACCTTCCATACTGAGGTCTCTTATCTGCAGAAAAACAGGATTCAGGGAGGGTAGCCCATCAGAGAATCTTTGATTAATTTATCTTTCCCAAGATCATCTCTCTCTCTCTTTTTTTTAAAACAGTTAGAATAGGTCACAGAATTTTAAACCTGTTGAGTAAAAAGGATTTCTTTAAGGCTGATTTCTGATTTGCTAAATTCTCAGTTGTTCTCTTCACTTTTTTTCACTTTCAAGAAGAAAAGTATGTTTCAGAAAGAGAAACAGTTATCAAGGCCATCTAAGGAGGAAGGAGTAAGCAGAGGGAAGGAAGCACTCTGACCCCCTTTCTGATGACTTTATTTCATGTGCTCAATTCAGACAAGACACAAACAGCTCTGAGGTGTCCCTCTCCCTCCAATCCACTCCCCTTCACTTACCTCATTTTCTCCTTCCCACAGTTCCCTCCCAAAACTGCTGATGAGAAGGGGTTTGTGATTAGCTTTGATGAAAACACCCTCACTTTTTATTTTCCCTCACTTCAAGCCTGAGGGTATCATCTTACCTCCACAAAAAGAGATCCCAGTAATGCTGAGAGTGAGTAACATTGGGATGGAAATTTTCAGGTAACTCCATTCTGCTGTGTTGTCACCTGTCCACACAGCACCTTTGGTCACCAGTAACAAGGTATCAAAACAAAAAACATACAAATCAGCCATGCCCTCAATTTCATGTTTAGATCCTTATTTGTAACAGACATCTAATATAAAGGAAAACATTTCTTTCTTACCTTAAAATATAAAAATTCTGGTTTTCTATAATGAAAATATATTTTCTAATTTATATAGTGAAAAAGTTACAATATCACATTTTCTCATGCAATTAAAGCTACCATTTTAATAGTCTTAAGATAGCCTCTCCTATGGATACTTTTATGACTATTCCCTTACTGTTACATAGTTGGATTTTCTTTTTTGTTTCAAGGACTAATGCTGTGGTAAGCATCTCTGTACATGAATCTTTGCTTGAAGACAATATTTAGGCCTTCTCCAGAGTACCACAGTGGCTGGTTTTCTGAGGTAGAAGTTATAATAATGCCTACAATACAGTAAAGGCTGGATTCTTCAAAACCTAAGCTCTCAGTTATTTATGCAAGGCCAGGGGACTTAAAATAGCCTTCCTGCCACAGGGTGGTTAAGTTGAACTAGATGTGCATTAGCTAGTAAACTGGATCCAGTTATAGGCGACCCTGATCACAAGCATCAGTGAGGTCTATTTTAAGCTACATTGCTAAGTGGAACAGGTGGTTGGAAGAATGTGCTGGAAGTATTTTTCCCTGGTTTTGATAAATCAGAGATAGGATCAGAGATGACCATCCCAGAAAACTGAGATACTATGAAATCATTTTCTCAACAACTAAGTGTCCATTTCTTCAGTGGGAAATAAGTAATTAAACTGTACTAAAATTGGTTTACTCTGCCTCACAGGACAAAATGAGTACTTCCAGGCACATCACTCCCTACAACCTAAAGCCTGCCCTCTGGCTATTGAAAAGGAAAGCATCACCACAGTAAGTAATACCATAAACCATAAATGGTCAGAAAAGATAGGCTGCTTTTAAGTCTGATCATATGAGCCATTCCTTACCATACTTTTGTGATCCAGCAAAGAATGAACGTGTTAGAACAAAGGGTCTCTCCTTCCCTTTAGATCGCTGTATCAGTCCTTCTGCAGTAGCCATTTGCTGTAATGTCAAAGGAGAAGAGACGACTGGATTAGGGCACTGTACAGACATCTCCAATAAGCTATTTAACATGCAAAAAGCAAATAGTAGGTGTGAATGTGAAATTGAAAATGTTAAATCCATCAAGTAATTTCTATGATGTAATGAAACTATTTTGAATTCCCCTATTAAAAGAAAAATTTCTTTGATTAAAATAGCAATGAAATAATAATAAATAATAAACTAGCATTTATTTAGTTTTTGTAAGATTTTTCTATACTCTCCTAGGGAATCTTAATCTACACAACAACCTCTCAGATAGTTTTCACTGATTGGAAAAAACAGATTCAGAGAGGTTAAGTGATTGGCTCTGGCTTACATAAGAAAATTTTCTAACTGAAATAGTTTGCAGTTATAGTAAGAGGCTGTTGAAGAAGTGGGCACATACTATCTGAAAACTGCTGTATCTAGGCTGCAGCTCCTACTGGAAAATGCAAACTGGGGGCAAGGTCATAGGAACACAGTTATATTCTGAAAATAACAAAGAACATTAATATAAATTAGGGCAAGTGACTGCCAAGTCTTTTGGATGTGATTGGCAAATGGAAGACACTTCTACTTTCTATTGAGAAGGCTAAGTACTAAAGAAAGGCTTCCTACATTTAAAAGTGTACTTATTGAAACTGTGTATCTGTGTTCTAAATCTTACTGCCCTGGTATGAATGTAAGACTAGCTATATTCAGACATTTGTGAAATTTCAAAACATTAAACTTTGTTTATACATTTATACACTGTCTACTTCAGTAAAAGTTTGGAGGTAGTATCCAGTGCCATTTACTATTGGCTCCTGTCAAGGAAGATGTTTCTATGTTATCATTAATCTCACAGTATCTGTAATTCACTAAGTTCATTGTGGAAAGAAAAGATGCAAGGGGAGAAATAATGCCTTATATTGGCTATGACCTGGCAGGACCCATTGCAGTTGCCAGAAAAGACATGCAAGGAGAAACAAACAGTCTAACATGGCTATCACAAAGCAAATGACCTTCAGTCTGTAAAGGCAGAGCACATGTTGGCTTCTTTCTGGTTGTCTTACCTGATAAAACCCATAGATGTTGTGAAGTTCTCTGTGCTCCCAGTTGCCGTGGTGTATGGCACTCTTCTGCATGGTTAGCTCTGGGCCTCTGAAGACAGAGGGTTCGTTCATGTCGTTCCATATGTGGAGGATGTCCGTGGATCCCTAGGACATGAATCTTAGTTGTGATAATACTCCTACAGTGATGATGTTAGCATGATAGCTGTTCCTATGATATTCCTCTTTCATACTCTATTTAATTTATTATCTATTATGTTTGTTATTTATGCTCTGTTCTCTGCTCCACTGCTAGAATAAAAGTTCCACAGGGCAGGGCATTTTGTGTATTTTGTTCACTGATAAATCCCAAACAGTGAGATTAGTAGCTGAACCACAGAAGACTCTCAGTGAGTATTTGCTGGTGAATGAAGAATGCTGTTCCATACTGTCTGTGAAATTCATATTGCCCAGCAAGTACCCTCCAAGACCTACCCTGGGGAACCCCTACAGGATTTGGCTCAGCACCATCTACCACTTGCTACAACTCTGAACTGAGGGCAAATAAAATTGTCCATGGTAAGATTCTGCCTACATTCTGATAGTCTGAAGATTTGACAGCTAAGATACCTGTTCGTTAGCATGCTCTACAGTTTGTGTTCTATGTAGAACTGTTCAATTTAGAATGGGAAGGGGGTTGAGTCACCTCATTAATTTGGTGTTGTAGTCCTTTTATAGAATCCCCAGTCTCTCAGCATTTGACTCAATAGCTATAATGACAAGTCCCTCAAACAGCTCATTCCATTATTTTATAAAAGTCCTGCTCACTGGGACATTCTTTCACTGGGCCTAGCTTGCCTTCTGGATACCACAGAATACATCTGCGGCCTCACCCACATGATAGTCTCTCAAATGCTTGGATGATGTTTCTTTTGACTCTTTACTTTTAATGATTTCTAAACATGTATACTTTTATGAACAAGGCTATATAGTTTCCAGATATTTAACTACCTTGACTGTCTTTCTTTAGTACCCTCTAAGGCAGGGGTTGGCAAACCTTTTCTGGAAAGGGACAGATAGTAAATATCTTCACTTTGCAGGCCATAAGGCCTCTTTTTCTAGAACTCAGCTCTGCTATAACAGTGTGAAACAACCATAGACAAGAGGGAAATGGATGACGATGGGCAGATTTGGCCTAAGCATTGCTTACGCCTGCTCTAAGTTGTTTTCTGTGTCCTAATACATAATGCTCAGAAACTACAGTTTAATGGTTAAAAGCTGGGCTTGGGAGACAAATGAACCTCAATTCATGTCTTGGGTCCACTGCTAAGTAGATAGGTAAACTTAGCAGGTTTTTAAACTTGTCCATGCCTCAGTGTCCTCATCTGAAGGATTCGAGTTAATTATGCAATGGTTCCAACTTCAGAATGTTATGGTGAAGATGACATGGTATACTGCACATGAAGTGCTTAGCACATAGCAAGCAATTTACATTAGGCATCATTATTATCATCATAACTGGATGAAAACTGTTTCCTAGATGTGGCCTCTCCAGTTCTCTCTGTGGTTCTTATAATATTTTAAGAATCTATTTATTATTATATCTTACTTTTAATGTCATATTATAGTTTGCAAGGTATTTTCACACATATCGTCATCTTAAATAGGTATAGAATACTATTTTATATAAAAACTTTTACAGTAATTAAAAAATCCCCTATTATTAAGTACTTTGATATATCATAGAGTCTGTTATAATAGTGGTAAAAATCACAGGTTTTGTGCATTTGGTAATACATAGGGCAGCTCTCCCAGCACCACCAGAGCCCATAACAGAGTTGCCATCCTTGTCTTTTCATACACATATTATTTATCAAGAGCTATTCAGTGAAACAGAGTAGTTCTCTTCATTTACTTTTTTCCCCTTTTTTCATCCTTCCAAGTCACTAGGAAAGAGAAAAATAATTACAAACCTGATAAGCAGAGAAAGCAAATAGACCTGAATACCACTCTCTGACCTTGGGACTTGTGAAATCCAGGTAAGAGGAGAGACCTGTAGAGGCAGAAGACAGACGGCCTGTTAGGAATAGTGGTCCTCATGGTAAGAAATGTCGTCAAGAGTATTAGATGAGAAAGCTGGGTAATCAGTGGGCACGTTATATCAAACTTAAAGACAGGTGACACAGAGGCCTGACTGAGGAGAAGCGAATGGAGGCAATGCGGGACTCCAGTGACCATCACTAGAACCTTCAACCCTAGAGGCTGATGAACAAGGATCAAGATGGAGCCTGGCCCTCACTAATGGCCTAATAAGATAGCCCAAGGAAGAATGCCAAATGTCCTGGAGTGCCCCCTCTGTTCTTTAAGAGAACAGAGAAGTGGTTGTACATGGCATGAAGGGGAGAAGGGATGCGTGGGGTTTCTCCACAGCACATGGATTTGTGACAGGATGCTGTGCTGGGACAGAGTGGTGACTCCCTTTGGTCCTTGAGGAGTCTCTATCAAGGATTTGAACTAAAATTTCTGAAATGAAGAATTCAGGGTTGCCAGAGGCAGCTGAGGCCACTCGTGAAGGCCATGGATTAACGGGGCCAAGAAGAATTGCAGGGAGACTACAGGGCCCTTTTACTTTTTCTCCTCCTTTCCTTTTCTTATCCCCTGGCTTTTAATTCTTACTTGCTTAGAGAAATAGCATGCCACTGAGGTTTATTTTTCATTCATTCATTGACTGATAAATGTGCACACAGGACACTACACCAGGTGTTATGAAAGATAGAGGATGAGAAACACCTTCTCTTCCTTAAAGGCACTTAAAATGTAGCAAAAGACATTTACAAGAAATTAGAGTGACAGCCATGCGACGTTCATTAATGGGACTAAACGCGTGGAAACAGTGTCTAAAATGATACCTTACCAGGCCAGCACACCCCTTCAAAGTCTCCCCCTTCATGATTCTTCACAAAGAAGCCCTGGCCTTTGGACTTGGTGTACACTGAGTAGTCTGGGTCAACCTTGATGTGGGGGTCACTGATGACCACAAGCTGTTAGGACATAAAGGTTTGACAATCTCATCAGTTTCATATGAGCCAAATATTTCTTTCTCTGTTTCCATCATAGTTTTGGGTTTCAGATTTCATATAGAAATAACTACTACTAGTATGGAAATATTTCAGGCACAAGTAAAACCCTATAACCTTTTATGTGCTTCTGGGAATATAAACTGGTACCAAAACCAGGCCAATGTTCTTTTATTATTACAGCTGCCCAACAAATACATGTTCTTAAATAGTGTTCATTAAGCCTCTGGCTGCCTGTGGTACTGGGTGCTGCACATGAAATTAAGTACGAAAGCTCCCCACTCCCTAGACATCTGAAGGCTACGGTAACACTGACAAAAGCACACAATTGAGGAAACAAGGGACAGCAGGTTAAAAACAAACAAAACCCTCCCCCAAACCCAAAGGCACAGGCATATTTAGGAAGGAAATCTGAGAAAAGCTGTGATCATAGCTCCGTGTCTCCAGCATCTGTCCTTGCCTTTCTAACACCATCACTTCCACCTAGTCTCGGGGTTTCAAAACCACTTTATTTGGGTAGGACAACCTTCTAATCCTCCTTTCTCATATCTATTCAAATCTACTCTATGCACTGCAGTTTAATTCTCCATTGCTCATAAATTTTTTAAAAGTTTAATTGTGGTAAGATATACAGAACATAAAACTTACCATCTTAACCAATTTTAAGTTCACAGTTCAGCTGTGTTAAGTACATTCACATTGTTGTGCGATGTCCAGAACTTTTTCATCTTGCAAAACTAAAACTCTAGATTCATTAAAAACAATTCCCTATTCCCTCCTCTCCCCAGCCATTGGCAACCACCATTCTTCTTTCTATCTCTGATTTTGATTACTCTAGGTGTCACAGATTTGGGAAATCATATAGTATTTGTCTTTTTGTGACTGTCATTTTAGGAAGAGTTGTCTTTGCTGTATTTTCAAAAATATATGTGGTTTTGGGAGGAGATTTCTGCTGCTCTACTCATGCCGCCATCTTGGCTCCGCCTCCAGTGACTGTCATTTTATTACATTAACTTAATGTCCTCAAGGTTCATCTATGTTGTAGCATGTATCAGAATTTTCTCTTTAAGTCTGAGTAATATTCCATTATACGTATATACCATAGTTTGTTTATCCATCCATCTGCTGATGAACACTTGAGTTCCTTTCACTATTTGGCTATTGTGAATAATGCTAATATACACTACATATTGTGTACAAATTTCTGCTTAAGTCCCTGCTTTCAATTCTTTTGGGTACATACCCATAAGTGGGGTTTCTGGATCACATGGTAATTTTCTTTTTAATTTTTTGAGGACCTGCCATACTATTTTCCATAGTGGCTGCACCATTTTATATCCCTATTATCAGTGCACAAGTGTTCAGATCTCTCCACATCCTCACTGACACTTGTTACTTTCTGATTTTTTGATAGTAGCCATCCTGATGATATGTAGTGATATCTCATTGCATGGGTTTGATTTGTATGTCTCTCCTGGTTAGTGATGTTGAGTATCTTTTCATGTGTTTGTGGGCTCTTTGTATATCTCTTCTTTGAAGAATGTCTATCAAGTCCTTTTCCCATTTTTTAATTGGACTGTTTTTTGGTTGGTAAGTTGTATGAATTCTTCATATATGCTGCAGCTTAACCCCTTATTCAAAAACTTCTGCTGTCTGCACGTGCATACAAAGCTGCCTACAATCAGGTTGGATTCTACACTGGACACACCTTGCACATGCCTTGTTTTCCCATCAAACCAGCCTGTGCACTGCTTTCCAAACACCACTGGGGGCTCCAGCCTCCAGCTGCACTGCCTTCTTCCCCTTCCCCACTTCTCCACTAGTTAGAGACTCAGCCTTCAGGGCTCATCTAAAATGCGCAAAGCCCTGCTTGGGTCCAACAGGATGCAATCTCCTCTCTCTTGGGTCTCCCACAACCCTAACCTTTCTTGGGCCGGTATTGTGGTTGTGTACTCCACTCACCGTAAGACCCTAAGGAGCTCATTTCCATATTCCCTTCATCTTTAGCAGAGTGTCTTGAACATTTGGAAGCCTCAATAAATAACTGCTTATAAGGGACATAGGTTCTGGAGTCAGGCAGATCAGGGTTCAGATTCTTGCCATGATACTTAGTCATTGTGTGCCTTTGTGCAAATACAAACCTACTCGAAGCCTCAGTTTCTTCATCTGAAAGAAATGTGGTAACAAGATCTACCTCATAATTTTGTGATGACTGGATGGAATAATTATGTTTTATCATACTCTCTGGCCTATAATAAGTGCTTGATACAGGGTAGCCATCTGTTAATTGAGAAACTAGGAGTTCACGGGATTGGCTCTGGCCACCTGTGAAGGCTTGGGGATCAAAGGAATGAGTTGCAAAGGCAACTTTAATCTCAAAAAGAGAGACTGCAGGGATCCATTTACATGATACCTACAGCGTGCCCCCCATCCTCTCTCCATTTCCCCTGACTCCCTCTTTTCATTATTACTATTACCATCCCACCACCCCTGCATTACACACTTTCTAATGTCTTCTCCTCTTCCCATTTTCTACTTTAGTTCTTTCCTTGGAGTCCATCTGGGAAGCACACAGGAAAATGGTGTCAATAAAGAATCTGACTCCATTTTTCATTAACTGTTAAAGAGCTTTCAAGCCCTACCATGTCTCCTGCTCCTTCCCCCGACACCTATGCATGCGGACAAAGTCCTGACACTCCCACCAGTGGTGCCAGTGTGAAGTTCAAACTGCACAAGCCCCAGAGCATACACGGGACTCCTCACCCCTATCCAACCCTCTAACCACTGTAAAAGCTGGGCCCATCTCCTTTCCCAGCTCTCTCAAATCATTTTCAAACCAGTTTGGGAGCCAGCCCTTCTCCCCACAGGATGCCTCACTACATGACTAACCTTTTCATACCCTCCGGGTGCCAGTGTGCTATCACCAATCTCGACATCAGAGCCCAGTTTTGTGTGGGGGCCATCCATCACATGGGGATCACTACAGGGTGGCCACAACAAATGGGACTGATGGGGGCCCCTTTATCCTTATGGGGACCTAGACAATTCAGGCAGGGATAGATGGGGTCCCCATCTTTTCACCATTGCTTTTCTGTTATCAAAGATACAATTACATTTGAAGGTACCATTTTATGGCCATTGTTTATCATAAAGTTCTCCCCCACTAACATGCCAAGGCAAGTTTTGAAAATTAAAAAATGCTTTGTAATGAAAAGGTCCAGAAATGTTGGCTTATTTTACCTTACGTTTTTTGCTTCTGAGCAGCTCTTGCAACCTTTTGGGGTTTGGGAATCTTTTCTTGTCCCAGGTGAAGTACCTTTTGCCCTCAGTGTGCTCTATGTCCAGCCACATGACATCATAAGGAATGTTATGTTCATCGAATCCTGCATCCACTGCTTTTACATCCTGTTCATTTTCGTAGTTCCAGCGGCACTGATGGTATCCCAAGGAGAAGAGAGGGGGCATGGCTTGTGTGCCTAAAAGAGGAAGATGGTAACTCTGCCCACTACTACCACAATGATAATTATACACTGGATATACATTTCCTGAATGTCTACAGGGTCTAAGAGCTCAGCTTAGTACTTAGACTATCAAGGAGAAGAAAGCAAAGTCCCTACCATTAAGAAAGTGACAATTTGGCTGACAAGGCAAGCATGTAAACAAATTGCTCTATTCTGAGGTCTAACTGCTATGATAACGGTATCAGCCATTTAATGTTAATACAGTCTGCCAGCAGCAAAGAGTAGTCTTGAAATGCTTCACAAAGGTGGTAACATTTGGTTTGGGACTTAGGAATACGTAGTAATATGCCAGATAGGGAGAATGGATAGAGAATTCATGCATGGGAATAGAAAAGACAGACAGAGAAGTACATGATAAGATTAGGGAAAACTAAATATTCCAGGGTGGTTATACTGTGACAGATTAGCAGAAGATGAACCTGCAGAAGGTCAGTTTGTAAGGGGCCCTGTAGTTCAGGTAGGAATTGTGAATCTCTTCTGGGAAGTCACCAGAAGTTTGGCAAGATGTAACTTTAGCAGACCTATGTTTTAGAAAAATCACTTAGGGAGCAGTGTTGAGACGGACTTGAAGGCAGGAAGAACTGTCAGGAAATTATCATAACATTTACTGATAACATGGAGGACTTCCGGTCAACCACTTGCATTTATCTCTTTGTCCTCCTAAAGTCCCACTAAGATCAGAGTAAAAAAAAGTGAAAAAAAAAAAAAAGAGTAAAGCCATAAGAACAAAATTTTGGAAGGTGACAGGCAGGGGAGGGATGGTAATTGTTGAGCAAAGCCAGGGAAGCTCTGACCAGGGAAGCTTATGTGGGAGATATTGATGAGAGGAGCTCACCCCTGCCCCCAGAGCACTAGCAGGCAGACGTCCCCCTTCCACCCCCCAACACCAGAGGGTAAGACTCATCTGGGCACACACAGCTTCCAGGCAGAATTTCATTCTTAAACATGCATGGATAGTGAAGGATCACTCAACATTTGAGTAAAGCCTCCAAAATTAGAGAGAGGGGCCCACATAAAGAAATAGAATAAAAGGATCTCTGAGAAAACAGGGACAAAACAAGGAGCCAAAGTAAACACCAAACTTTATCAATAATATCTCCAAGGAGAGGAAAAACGATTTCGCATCCATAACATAAGGCCAAAGCATAAAAGCAGCACAAGAGATTAGAAACAAGGTACAACCAGAGGATAAGAAAGTTTGTAGAAATTAGAAATGTGATAGCATAAATGGAAAGCCTAGAAGATAAGATTGAGAAAGTTGCTCAGAAAATAGACAAAAAAAGGAAGGGAGATTATAAAATCTGCAGAGTAGAATAAGAAAAAGGAGGGGAAGAAATTATCAAAGGAATAATAAAAGACTGTTTTCCAGAACAGAAAGACACAATTCTCAAGATTCAGAGTCCACATCTAATGCACAGCACAATGCTTATAAAAGAAAGGTCTATATCAAGGCATTTTATTGTAAAATTTCAGAGTATTATAAATTTCAGAATATTTAGAGATAAAGAGAAGATATTTCAGAGAAGATTGTATACAAAAGAACAGAATTCAGAGTGATTTTGAAGAAGACAGAAGATAATAAGGAAATACCATAAAATTCTGAAATAATTCCCAATCTAACTAGTCAAATTATCAATCAAAGGTAAAGATAGAAAAAAGACATTTTCATGCCTGCAAAGACACAAAGTTCACCTATAAAACACACTTTCTTAGGCAACTACCAGCAGATGCTTCAAACAACAAACAAAAACAAGGTAATAAACCACACACACAAAAAACAGGGGACCCAAGAAAGGAGGGATCTAACACCAGAAAACAGCAAATGTAAGTCCTAGGATGACAGCAGTGCGGGAGCCTGGAGGGCTATAGCCCAATGGGAGCAGGGCTGAGAGATCTAGGAGGGAGTCTCCAGGGGAAAAGTGGGATGAATAAAGTATCTAACACCTGTAAGCATTTGAAAAATATTGATTTAACTAAAAATTATGATATAACAATATTGTGAAGAAGAGGAAGGAGGGACATTGTTGAGCTAAATCCTCATCAGGAGTAAATAATCTATAAATGTGTAAATTGGATTTCTTTGAACATGGTGGCAGACCAAGTGTTTCTGAAGCACTTCCCTATATATCAGGTTATTCTAATAATAATTTTAAAAGAGCTGTAGGTGGGTCCTTGAAAAAGGAAGTATTTATTCCTATATGGGTGTCTTCCCATATCCACAAAATCTTTGTTGTTTCATCAAATTTGGGATCAAATTCTTCCCTTGAACATGTACTGGACTCAGGGACTTCTAACAATAGAATGCAGCATAAGTGAATTCTATATTACTTTTATTTTTAATAGCTTTATTGAGAAGTAAACATATGCCATATAATTCACCCATTTAAAGCATAAAATTCAATTTTGGAGGGTCATATTACCCGTTTTTAAAATTGTAAAATGATTAACATAAAATTTGCCATTTCAATCATTTCTAAGTGTATGATTCAGTGGCATTAATTACATTTGAGAAGTGGTACAAGCATCACCACTAGCTATTTCTAAAACTTTCACAGCACCCCAAACAGAAAGTCTATAACCATTAAGCAGTAACTTTCCATTACTCATCCCACCCTCTGGGCCCTAGTACCATGTGTTTAAGAGACTATTCTTTCCTTCTTAAACTTTTGTTGAAAATCAATTGGCCTGAGATGTATGGGTCTATTTCTAGGCTCTCAATTCTACTTCATTGGTCTATACATCTATCCTTACACCAATACCAGACTATTTGAACTATCTTAACTTTGAAGTAAGTTTTGAAATTGGGAAGTATGAGTCCTCCAACATTTTTTTCCACAGGATTGTTTGGTTAGTCAGGGCCTCTTGAAACTGCACATGAAGATCAGCTTTTCTATTTCTTCAAAAATGGCATTTGGAATTTTGGTAGGGATTGCAGTAAATCTGTAGATTGCTTTCAGTAGTACTGCCATCTTAACAATATTACATCTTCCAATCCATGAGCATGAGATGTATTTAAGTCTCTCACCTCTTTGGTTAAATTTAGTCCTCATATTTTATCCTTATGGATGTCACTATATATGGAATTGTCTTCTCAATTTCTTTTTTTAGATTTCTCATTGTATATAGAAACACAATGGATTTTTGTGTTCATCATGTACTCTGCAATTCTGGTGAATCTGTTTACTAGTTCTAGCAGGTTTTTTCTGGATTTTTTGGGATTTTTCTAACAGAATCACATCATCTACAGAGATAATTTTACTTCTTCCTTTCCAATATGGATAACTTTTTTCTTTTTCTTGCTAATTGCTCTGGTTGGAATTTCTAGTACAGTGTTTTATAGCAGTGGTAAAAGTGGGTAGCCATCCTGTTTCTGATCTTAGGGGAAAGCTTGCGGTCTTTCACCAGTGAGTATGCTGTTAGCTGTGGATTTTTCATAAATGCCTTTTATCATGTTGAGGAAGTTTCCCTCTATTCCTAGCATTCTGAGTATTTTTATCATGAAACAGTGTTGGATTTTGTCAAGTGTTTTTTTCTGCATCAATTGAAATTATCTTTTATGTCTTTGAAAGACAAAATGCTTTTCAGTAATGTATGTAATTGATGAATCACTAAGTTGTTCATCTGAAACCAATATAATATTGTCTATAAACTATATTTCAATTAAAAAAAGATGTAATACCATACCATCCCCCTGCCCCAAATAACAATAAAACAGTGTTAAAGCCAGTGGTCTATTTTAATGGAAAACAGGTTACAGAAAAGTCCAGGTAGCAATACTGGTCATCTGAGATAAAGGCAGAGAAAACCCAGGGGTTAAAGGTTCCAAGAAAAGCAGATGGCAAGTATTAAGGATTAGAGAATGGTGAGTTCTAGCCCCAGTGCAATGTTTAACCAAGCTGAATGGGATGAGGATGGCAGGAGATATGCTTGCTTCTTAAAAAGCCTGGCTAAGTTATTTATAAACTCTGTATGGTGTGCAACAAATATTAACCTACAGTGATGCTATGTGGGATAAAGGAAATGGAACAAAACACTGGCACTTGCAGATTCAAGTACCTGTAAGGTACGAATACTGCTTGAAGACGTCAGAAGGCATAGGTCCTGTCAGCAGAAAAACATCAATGATTCCGCTCTCTGACATCCAACGCACATCAGTTCGAGATCTGACCTTTTGTTTAGCAGCAACTGGGCCCATCTGGGTCAGGGTATACTGGAAAAGGAATGGAAAGAAGATCTGAAATTTTTTCCTCTAATTTACAACATCTATGCACATGTGAGTAGCAAGTCTGTCCCTTTAATACATACTACAAACTTTCACTCATTACTGAAAAAACTTGGGTTGCAGAGAATTGTTCCTACAAAGCCCAGACCTATGACTACACTTCACTGGTTTTGTTTCTTTTGTATGTATGACACATAGCCATGATCTATAGCTCACCTTTGCTGCAGGCTCTGTATTGACCTCTACTAATGTTTCTGAGGCATTCAGCCAAAAAATGCCTAGAGTCCTGCCTGGCTTGTGCGCCAGGAGATACGGCACTGAACCATAAATGCCCATTTTGTCATGTATCTTGTATCCATAGACATCCAGGTTATAAAGACGGTAAGCATCCCCATTACTGAAACACACAAAGGGTTATCAATTAACACTGCAAATATATTATTAATGAAGTATAGCTCCACACTCCCCTGCAAACACTCAGGTCCTATGCAATTTTCAAGGCTCAACTCTTACCACTTCCCTAAAGGTTTCCTGACCCAGCCTGGTTGAATATGATCCTCCTCCTTTGATTCCTTTGGCATCCCCTCACATAGCAACTGGCATGCATGATCTTCCCTCTTAGGTATCTTTTCTGAGTATCTCTTGTGAGGTGAGCACTGTTTCCTGTGAATCCTCCACAAGAGTTAACACACAATATGTATCACTGACAGATTTTGTGCATATTACTCTGCCACTAAAACAAAATGAAAATGTCCTATTCTGCTTCCACAGTGTTGAATAGGGGAAGCCTGGCAGCCGAGTTGGAGTGGACAGCACAGAGCCAGGTTGGTATGAGAGTAGCACAGTTTCTGAGTCACTGGTCACTATGCCTAACTGTCAAGTAAACAGCACCTGAACCTGGCAATTGATCAGACTGTTTCTCTTTGGTTTGTTTCCTTTTAGTCTGATGCTGCTCGCATTTATTTGTCAGTCGTGTTAATTTGAAATGATCTTCCTGAGGAAGCAAAGGTGGTAGGCAATGCTACTTTTCTGTTCTCTGGCTCACTGTCCCTTTTCGGAAAAAGCCCTTTTCTAGGTCAGTGATTTTCAGAATGTATTCTCCCAGGGATCCACGGAAAGGCCTTGAGAGATTAAAGCAAAATCCAGAGAGGTGGTGTAGTAAAGCTCCCCCCAACTTCAACCACAGCCGCCCTATATTTTTGTTTCCTGTATATTTTAGGTTCAGCATTACTGTTTTATAATTGTCTCACTGTTTCCAAAAAATAAAATAAGAATTGAAAAACACTGCTGTGAGCAATCATTCAAAGAAGGTTCTTAAGGATCTATAAGCAATTATCAAGGAAGAAAAGGCCAGGCAGATACTAACACAGGTTCAGACATCCCACATATTTTCCTTTTAAACTTTTCCACTGCAGAAACCAGAAACTCTTGTGAGAAAAAGAATTATTTTCACTTTACCCAGTATTTTTAAGTTGGTGTGATTCTGCATGTTGTGGGATCCCGTAGAGATGCTCAAATCCATGCAAGGAGAAGTCCAAACCAACAGATGCAGGACCTGTAGGGACCAGGATACTGACTGAGTTCTGCTTCTCAATGGAACAACTGACTAAGGAGATTCAGTTAACGATGAGTGTAGCAGATGTAGACTGGGGATTGAGAGACCTGAGCTGCCCTGATCAACAGGTAAATCATGTGTGCTGATTCTCTGTAAGATGTTATATTCAGGGATTGTTTGGATACAAAAATGCACAAGGAAAAGTTCCGGTCACTCACGAGGTACGTTTCCTTAGCTGTGTGTTGAAGTTTCCTGTATCCTCATTTATAGTGAATCTCTTTTCCACCTGTAAAATATGGCTACAAAGGTTTAGATTTTTTTCCTAAGTTTTCCTAAAATATATTGCATAGTTCTTTGCTTAGAAAGCAAAGGATATTGACCAATTTTAATCTTCGTTAGATCAAAGACTATACTGTCAAGGGGCCTTTCCTGGCTTCTCAAAATACCTCTTCCCTGTGATCGTAGATATATAAATATCCTTTTACCAAAGACAAAGTCCTTTATTTAACAATTATTTCAGAGATATGGGAAAAGTACAAGTAACTGGGAGAGATACTATACAATTAAAAGTCACTTTTAGGCAAAGATATATGACATAAAGTGGTCCTTATTTGGTGGAGTTTATGTAAAAGGGATGTATAGAAAAGGAAAAAAGGATTATGATGTTACAGAAAGGAGAGCCTGAGGGGCTCCCCTACTGACAAATTTTGGACATGCAGCCAGTCCTGGTCACTACATTAGGTTATAGATATAGATGCTAGAACAAGGGTTCTCGAGGAGTTAGGGAGGGACTGTATTCTACAGAGCAAGGAGGAAGAAAGTGAGTATTTTTTCCAATTACATATGCCCTAAGTCTGAAAAGTATTTCCTAAAGAGACAAACTCTGCCCCAATCCTTCCTCCCCCACTATCGCTAAGCCTGGTGAGCAGTGTCACTGTGATGCTCATGTGAAACGATGGGGAGGCCTGGAAGAGCTTGGCATGTTAAGAGCTACTGAGCTCTAGAACTTGGTTTCTCATCACTTGATTCTCATAAAAATAGAATGTGGAATTTGTAGCTGTCTGTGTACAGGGTAGGTCAAGCAGTGTGCCGACCCATGCAGGAGACCATAAACTCCGTGAGGCCTATACTTCTTACACTCCCCACAGCAGGAATATACTATTTCTCTGTTGCAATGCACTGTTGAGGAATAAGAGACCCATATCTGAGATTTCTGTTCACAGAAGTCACTTGTTTAGGTGCCAAAAGTTTGAGAGAGAGATTTAGCCATTTTGGAAAGATCTGTTGTAACCCTACATCAATTTCAATTTTACCATTAACTTTGACATCCACAAATTTTCCGAATTTCTCCTCCCATAGGCCCAGATCCTCTTGATTTTCCTGTTGGCACACACAGAAAATTGACTGTACACATTGCAACAAATATGATTACCACAGGAGCATATTTTATTTGGATTATTAAAGAAATAGAATTAGAAAATGAATTCATCTTTTAAAAGACCAGTTTGTGGTGCCAGTATATTTAGCAGATTAGATCAGTGTTCTATATAAAAGCCACTATCATCTTACAAAGTATAGCTGACATGAACATATTTTTTATGTGGTAAAATAGACATAAAATTTACCATTTGAAGCATTTTTAAGTGGCATTAAGTACATTCACTTTGTTGTGCAACCATCATTATCACCTATCTCCAGAACTTCTACAGCTTCCCAAACTGAACCTCTGCAACCATTATACAACTTCCTATCCCTTCCTCCCCCCAGGTCCTTACAACTACTATTCTACTTCCTGTTTCTATGACTCTGACTACCCTAGCTATCTCATCAAAGTAGAGTCATACAGTATTTATTCTTTAGTAACTGGCTTATTTCACTTAGTGTAATGTCTTCAAGATTCACCCATTTTGTAGTATGTGTCAGAATTCCTTCCTTTTGAATAGTAAGGCTGAATAACACCCCACTGAGTGCATAGACATTTTGTGTGTGCATTCACCTGTCAATGACTCTTGCATGGTTGGATTGATTCTACCTTTTGGCTACTGTGAATACTACTATTATGAACACAGGCAAGCAAATTATCTGTTTGAGTCCCTGCTTTCACTTGGGTACACTGTGGGTTGGCTATGTACCCACAAGTGGAATTCCTGGGTCATATTGTAATTCTGTGTTTATTTTTTTGAGGAACTGCCACACTGTTTGACATGAATAGCTTTACATGAGCCAAAATGATGTGAAACTGCAGTAGGGCAGGGACATGGGACAAGCATCATGATTAACTTTCCCTGCCTGTGATGAAAAATGCCAAGATATAAACAGTGTAGTAAGAACAGGAGGGACTCCATCTTAAGGCTAAGATTCCATTTTAAAAATCAGGGAGTTAGGAGGTAAGATTCCTAACGTATTCTTTCATAATCAGCCAACAGCCTATCTTAAGACAGGGCAAGGAGTCCTAACTGATATGCTCCCAGTGCTTGAGGGTAACCACTATCTTAGAGAAGAACAGGATCAAGAAATTCCTCATGTTAAGTTTATCTTACAGAATTATCTAGAGGACTGACTGTGGATGGTGACTTAATGTCTCTCCCCAGATAGACTTCATGAGACCATACACCGAGCCTAGACCTTGCCCCCTCCACCTCCCTTTGCTCCATTCTTGAAAGTCTTAAGACAGAATCCTAAGCCTTAAGTGCTCCTCCTCTCTCAGGTTGCCCACACTCCCCTTTGAATGTGTACTTTTTAAATAAAGCCTTCTCACTGCTTAACTTCCTGCGTTTTGTCTTTGCACTCTTCCAATGGTAAGTGTCATTGTCACTTTGCTATTTCATTCTATTTTCCAGACTTATGCACTAGTCTTCACTCTGTCTCTGTTCTACTCCAGATAAGTAGGGAGAGGCCACTGAGGTCTCTGATTTGGGCTAGCAAGTTCTGTCCCCTGGGTGACCTGGACAGGACTGCAGTTGTACAATCATGCTCATTAGTAGCCTGCCTGAAAATTTCCTTTCTTTGCCTTTGGGAAGTTCTCAGAACATAATCTCACTCCATAGAGTGCTCTGCAGCTCCCTGAAATCCTGGGGTGGCAGAGGCTTAGTTCCCACACTACGCAGATCCAAGTGGACACTGGACACCAGGTGTCCCTGGCTTTAGGAGTTGCAATTTAGGAGGCTACTAATGAGCCCATCAAAGGCATTCATTTCCATTATAGTGTTTCTGATTTCTAGCATTTTTTAAACTTTATTGAGGTAGAAATGACTGGACATATTTAAAGTGTACACTTTGATAGGATTTGGCATATGTATACACCCATGAAACCATAACCACAATAAAGATAATGATCATCCATCACTCCTAAAAGTTGCTTGGTCAAGAAGAAGAAGCCTTTGCTCTTAATTGCACTGGAAATATTTTTCACCATTCCTAATGGCTATAGCTTTGTCAGGCTCCACTGAAGATGCATGTAGTTCTGGATGAAGAGAAGATTTCGGCAATGTCCATTCTCCAAAATTTGGCCAAAATAATCTTTTAAAACAGAAATCAGACAATGTACCTCTGGTGCTTAAAACCTTTCTTTTGTTTTTCTTTGCTCTTAGGTTAAAGTCCAAAAAGGTTAACATGACTTAGAAGAATGTAAGCTTCATGATAGTGGGAGAATTTGATTTGTTCAGTGATACAATCATCAATTTCTTGAACAGCACCTGGCATATAGGAGGTACTTAACAAATGTTTGTTGAATAAAAGAACTATTATAATTTTCTCTACACAATTGCCCCTGCCTATCTCTGCAGCCTTGTTACATAGCACACTTTCCTTTCTCCTGCTAAAAGGTATAGATATTTTTTATTTCTTCAAATGTGCTCCTTCCTACCTCAAGATCTTTGAATGTATGATGATTCCTTCTCTCTGGAATATTCTTTTCCCAACTTTTTGACTAGCTAACATATCCTTGTGCATCAGTTTCAGCTTTAACATTTCCTTCAAGAGATCTTCTCTGACCCTTGTCTTGGTCAAGTTCGTGGTTGTATTCTCCTACAGCCCTTTTGTAAAACTCCTCTTGCTTTTAACTACTTGGCATGTGTCTTTCCCAACAGAGTCTAAGTTCATGAGGACATACTGGGATTTGTCTTATTCACTACTGGTTTGCCTAGCCTAGCATTATTTTTTGTGTCTGGTACAAAGGAGGCACTGAGGAATTATGTTTTATGAATGAATGAATACATGAATGGAATAAGGAATGAGAGAATCAGTGAGCTAAAAGAGAAACAAAAGAGACATGTAGTTCCATATACACATAGTAGAGCATTTGTCAAGTGTATATCTATTTAAAAAAAGGGAGAACAGAAACATTATATTCCATATAATGATGATGATGGTGAGAAAGATTAAAAAAAGATAAACTTCACAATCTAATTACCTGAGATGTATCAACTGATGCATCCTCCTCATTTTCTTTGGTAACTCTGTTTTAATATAAATAGTTGTTTCACTTAAGGCAAGACTGATAAGTTTGTTCAATGTTAAAGATTTTCATATCCAACTATTCTTAGTGATTGTTCTAGAATTAGCATTGTAAATTTACTAATTTAAATCCAGTTTCAATACTGTGCTCCACAGGTAGTGCAAGTATTTCCTAATAAAATACAGCTTATCCTGAACAACACAGATTTGAACCACGCAGGTCCACTTACACATGGATTTTTTTCAATAACTGCACTGGAAATTTTTGGGAAGATTTGTAATGATTTGAGAAAAATTTCTTTTATCTAGCTTACTTTATTGTAATACATTATATAATACACATAACATACAAAACATGTGCTGACTGTTTATGTTATTGGCGAGGTTTCTAGTCAACATTAGGCTATTAGTTTTAAGTTTTGGGGGAATCAAAAGCTGTATGTGGGTTTTCAGCTGCACAGGTCGTTGGTGCCCCACCTCCTGTGTTGTTCAAGGATCAACTGTGTGCCTAATTCCTTCCTCCCATCTGTTGCATCACTGTCATTCATTTCACACAGGCATAAGCATACATATATACACACATATACATTAGTATACACAACTGAATACATTGTTGCTATTTAATTTTGAACAAACTGGAGTAAGAAATAAGAGTTTTTATTTTACCTTATTCATTCTCCAATGGTCTCCCTTTATTTATGTAGATTCAAGTTTCTAACCTGTACCATTTTTCCTTTTCTCTAAAGAACTTTTAAAAAACATTTCTTGCCACACAGGTCTACTGGCAACAAATTTGTCTGAAAAAGTCTGTTTGTCTGTCTGAGGGAGTCTTTATTTCTTTCATCTGAAGGGTAATTTTGCAGGGTACAAAATTCTAGGTTTGTAGGTTTTTTCCTCAATACTTTACTCTTCTTTTTTCTTTCTTGATGGTTTCTCAAGAGAAGTCAGATTTAATTATTTGCTTCTTTATAGGAATTTTTACTCTGGGTCCTTTCAATATTTTTTATTTTTTATTTTCTGAAGTTTGAATATGATGTTCATAAGTGTAGGGCTTTTTTTTTTTAAAGCAATTTATCCTGCTTAGTGTTCTCTGGGCTTCCTGGGTCTGTAGTCTGGCATTAATTTGGGGGAAATTCTCAGTTATTATTGGTTCAAATAATACTTCTGTTCCTTTCACTCTTTTCTTCTTCTGGTATTCCCATTATTTGTATGTTATATCTTTTGTAGTTGCCCTAAAGTTCTTGGATATTCTGTTCCTTTTCTTTTTCCCATTTTTTTCCCTCTGCTTTTTATTTGGATGACTCTATTGTCATATCTTCAAGCTCAGTGATTCTTTCCTCAGCTTGTATCTAGGCTACTAATGAGCCCATCAAAGGCATTCTTCATTTCCATTATAGTGTTTCTGATCTCAAGCATTTTTTAAACTTTATTGAGGTAGAAATGACACACAATAACCTGGACATATTTAAAGTGTACACTTTGATAGGATTTGGCATATGTATATACCCATGAAACCATAAACACAATAAAGATAATGATGATCCATCACTCCTAAAAGTTGCCTTGTGTATGTCTGCAATCCTCCCTCCCTGCCTCTTTCTGTATTCCCTATCCCCATCCTCAGGCAACCACTTTGCATGTTTAGAATTTTACACAAATGCTATTGTACAATAGGCTGTTTGGTTTTTTTAATAATATATTTTGAATTAATTTTTTTGGCACAAGGTTTGCAATTATTTTGAGTCATCCATTTTATTAAGTGTATTGATAGTTCATTCCCTTTTATTCTTAATGTTCCATTTTATGCCAGTTTGTTCATCCATTTACCTGTTGATGAACTTTTGTGTTGTTTCTAGTTTTGGGCTATTACAAATAATGCTGCTATGATTACTTAGGTACACATCTTTGTATGGACACTTTCATTTCTTGTGGGAAAATCTCTAGCTATGGAATGGATGGAACTCAGAGTGGGTAGATGTTTAACTTTTTAAGAAACCACCAAACTATTTTCCAGAATGGTTGTGCCATTTTACACTCTCAATAGTAGTTTGAGAGTTCCAGTTGCTCCATATTTCTGTTAACACTTGTTATGGTTGGCCCTTTTAATTCTAGCTATTTCAACAGGTGTGTGATATCACTGTTACTTTAACTTGCAGTTCCCTAATGACTAGCAGCATTGAACATACTTCTCAAGTGCTTACTTGTCACTTATGTATCTTTGGTGAATTACTTATTTAAAATTTTTTGTTTATTAGATTATTTTATTATGGTTAAAGTTGGAGAGTTCTTTCTATATTATGGATACAAGTCATCAGATATATGATTTATTTTCTCTTAGTCTATGACTTATCTTTTCATTTTCTTCATAGTGTCTTTCAAGGGTCAGGCGTTTTTACTTTCATGTCTATTTTATCAATTTTTTTTGTTTGTAGATCATGCTTTTGGTGTCATATCTAAGACATCCAAAACATATTCAAGGTCATTAAGAGTTTCTATGTTGTTGTCTAAAGTTATATAGTATTAGGTTTTACATTTAGGTCTATTTGTATTTTGAGTAATTTTTTTTTACTGAGGTTCATTTTTTGCAAACAGATATCTAAATGTCCAATACCATTTTTTGAAAAAACCGTTCTTTCTCCACTGAATTGCCTTTGCACCTTTGTAAAAAAATCAGTTGTCCATACATGGGTGGATCTACTTCTGGACTCCCTATTCTATTCTATTGATATATTTGCCTCTCTTCATACCAATGCCACATAATGTAGCTTTATAAGTCTTGAAATAGGTTAATATTAGCCTTCCAGTTTCGTTCTTCTAACACTTCTTTCTTAGAATTCCCATCTCTGTGCTTATGTTATCCATCTATTCTTGCATGTTGTTTCCTTTTCCACTAAAGCTCACAGCATATTAATTATAATTTAAAAAATATTCCTGGTCTGATAATTCCAATATTCCTGCCATACCTGACTCTAGTTTTGATGCTTGCTAAGTCTTTTCAAACTGTTTTTTGCCTGTTTGTATGCCTTATAATTTTTTGTTGAAAAGTGGACATGACATATGGGTAAAAGGAACTGTGGTAAATAGGTCTTTAGCAATGTTGCGGTAAGGTATGGTTGGGGGGAAGCTTTGCATAGTCTCATGATTAGGTTTCAGTCTTGGTGAGCCATACCCTGGACTGTGAACTTTACCAGTGTGTCTCAGTTCTCCACCTCTCCCTTCCCCCAGCTTAGGTGGACATTATGTCTAGAGAGGGCTAGAGCTGGGTATTTCGCTTCCCCCAGGTAAGTTAAGCTCTGACAAAACACCAGTAGTTTAGACTCTTCTGACTGACAGCAGGAGAAACTACTTGTTAAGAAGAACAGAATGCTCTGGCATACTTCAAAATGATTCCTGTATTGGTAAGCGTTCTCCAAAGAAACATAACAGGCTATATACAAATGCATAGAAAGACATTATGAGGGATTGACTTATACAGTTATGGAGGCTGAGAAGTCCCACGATCTGCTGTCTTTAAGCTGGAGGTGTATTTCCAGTTCAAAATCAAAGGCGGGACAACGAGGGTAGCCAATAGCAGAAGTCCCAGTCCAGGTTTGAAATTACCAAGAGCAAGGGCAGGTGTATGGTGTTAGTCCTGGTCTCATTCTGAAGGTCTAAAAACCAGAACCAGGATTGCTGATGACTGAGGACAGAAAAAAATGGATATCCCGGCTTAAGTAGAGAGGACTTGCTCTACCTTTTTGTTCTATTCGGGTCCTCAATGAATTGGATTATGGCCCCCCACTTTGATGAGGGTGTTCATCTTTACTCAGTATACTGCTTCAACTGCTAATCTCTTCTGGAACACCATCACAGACATACACAGAAATCACATTTTATCAGCTATCTGGTCAGCCCTTAGCCCAGTCAAGTTGACATATAAAATTAACCCATCACATTTCCTTTTTCTCTACCTCTTCTGGAAGCACAAGGAAATTTCTCTCTAGTACTTACTGTGAGGAAGTGAAGGTAGAACACACAAAATTGTGAAGGGCCCCCCATGACGGGGTTCCCCTGAACTTTTTAATTGAGTTGTCCACACTAAGTCTCCAGCAACTCATGAACTACAGCTTAGATTTTCCTACACAGCCGTGGTTCCCAAGGTTTCTGCTCCCATAAGTTGTGATTTTCTACCTGTCTGTCCAATTTTGGGGCTAATAGTTAGATCTAAGAGTTGTTGGTTTTTCAGTTCAGCTTTTTACTTATTAGAACTTGTTATTTGTGGTTGACTTCTAAGCTCCTCACATGCCAGAAATTTTTTTTCTTTATTTCTTTGTGGGTTTTTTTGTTTGTTTGTTTGTTTTGTTTTTTTTCTTAGTCTAATTTTTTTATTTTGGTATTAATAAAGTTAAAAATGTTAAGCAATCAAATCTTTCAGTCTTTTTCTTCATGGCTCTTCAACTTTTGTCACAATAACAAGATTATAAAAATAGTCTATATTTTCTATTTTTTTATGTTTAATTTTTATTCATCTGGAATTCACTTTTGCTAATGTTATGAGGTTAGAACCTAACTTGAATTTGTTTCCAGGTGGATAATATGATTTTCCCAGCACAAATATAAATATAAATGGTAGAAATATAAACTAGTACACAACCTCTATGGAAGGCAATTTGGCAACATCTATCAAAATTACAATGCACAAGCCATTTGATCAGCAATTATATGTCTGTGGTCTAATGTACTTGCATATATGCAAAATGAAAGCTACGCAAGGTTATTTGGTAAATAATTGTAAATAAAGATTAGAAAACAACTTTAAAGTCCATCAATAGAGAATTTACTAAATGAATCATGGTACAACCATACAATAGAAACTATGTAGCTACTTTAAAGAAATTAGGAACTATTACACCAGTAAAAGAAAAAAAAAGTGTGGAATAATGTGTATAGGTGACATCATTTGTGTCAGGAAAGGAAAAAATTTGTGTGTGTGTGTAAATGTATTTCTGAAAGGATACACAGAAAACTGGAAACAATAATTACTTCCAAGGACAGAACTGGGGTAGCTCAAGGACAAATTGTGAGGTAGACTTTTCACTACATACCCTTTTGTGCTTATTCAAAAAAATAAATAAAAATAAAAAGGCCCAACTTAGATAGCATCTCTAAAACTAAACCAAAAATAATGGGAGTTTATTAAAACAAAAAATAAGTTTTAAGTACAAATAACCTGGGTACTGGGTACACAGGTATTTGTTATATATGCTATTAATATTTGTCAGTTACAAAAGTAATTGAAAAATATTCATAAGGTACTAACAGAGCAGCTGGCAGGATTATGGGTATTTAAATTTTTCTTTTCAGTATTTTATGTTTTTCTTACTATGAACACATATTATTTCTGTGATAAGAAAATAAGACTTTTTAATATTAAAATTTAAAAATAGAAATAAGGTGAAACCCAGAAAAAAAATCTCTATGTGATAATAATGAATGTTGAATGCATTCTGTAAATCATATAAGATGCTCATTATTAGGATAAAAACAACTACAGACTGGACGGGTTAAGAACAATATTGGTAAAAATGGAACAAGAATCTCCTCTTCCTACTACCTCCCAAGTCATGTGACCTGACACAAACAGTTTCTTGATCAAGTGGTTTGGCCCAGAAAATTAACTATTCAAGTCTAGGGTAACTGATGTTATTGTAAGAGAGTAAAATGGAATTCTGAAGATGTGATAGTTCATATTAATATTTATCAAGTCAAAAGAGTGCTTTTTTAAAAGGGTGTAGAGGAGAAAGAATACCATCACCCAAACACACAAGATGTGTAGGAGTATCATGCTTACAAAAGTCTGGGAATCATTCTTGTCATCAAGCCTGCATTCACCTGCACAGGTGAAAAATTAAATTTCTCAGAACAATATTCTACAAATAAGGCAAACTGGTATTCCCAATCAGGTTTTCTTAAGTTCTGTATATGGTTCAAGTAATATGCAAAAATACCTTTGCTTGAGAGGAATTTGCAGGTGCTCAAAGTACAGTTGGCCCAGGGAGTTTATGCTCATCACAACCTCTTCTTCAGAGACCAAGTCTACCTTGAATGGGTTTGCTGTGATATGACATTTCAGATCTCCTTTTCCATCTGCCAGTATCAGACTGCCTGTGTCCCCTGAGCCTGAAACCAGCCTAGAAAAGAAAGCAGGAAGAGATAAATAAACTGCTATAGGTTCACAGGGCTCAATTTGAGTCTCATTTCAAATTAATTAATTAGTAAATCAATATTCATGTGACAGAGCATAGATAAGGCAGTGGAGAGTGGCAATTGAGAGCATGGGCATTGGTGTCAGTCTAGATTGAATACCATCTATGAGGTGTATACCTCTGGACAAGTTAATCTTTCTAGTTCTCACTTCCCTTATCTGTGAAGTCAAAATAATAAAAGAGTAGAACTTTTACAGAGAGTTAAATGAGATCACACATGTAAATGCCTGACACATAAGCACTCAATAGATGTGAGCTACCATCATCTTTATTACCTTGTTCTGGACAGTCTAGTAATGCTTTGGTACATAGAATCTAAGCCCTTTACTTTTCTTTCTCATTCTAACCATATACTCAGAAACTGAGGAAATAACACAGATGGGGTTACTGACCCATTCAGTCCTGGTGAGATGGAACCAGGTAAAGCTTCTGTTTTCTTATCACTGACTCCTATTGGCCCCCCATTTGACAGGGAGACTGTTAGGTTGTTTTGGATCCTCAGTAATTAAGTAAGCTTAGAGACAGCACTTGAAATCCCTCAAAGATCTAGATATTTCTCTATTTGGTACATAGTCACCCTGGTAAATGGTTACAGGCCTCCTTAGGGAAGGTTAGGAGGGATAGTTTATGTTATTAGAATTCTTCATCTTCCCCTGAAGCAAGAAGCCTAGATTCCAGAAACTAACTCTGTCTGGAGTTGTTTAAGAGGTTGTGCCCCATTGTTCATCAAACCTAAACAGAGTTCTTTTGATTACTCTATCAGGTAGCACCTCCATCCATCTATTTTAGTCTAATGGACCCCTCAATATATTGCTCACTGCCCCAAGGGTTAAGCCATGCTGAGTGCCACACAGGTCCTGCTGCATGTTATGGAAACATGTCCACCTTGTCTCCAACAAGTCCACCTTATCTCCAACAAGTCCACCTTGACTCTGCCACCTAAAGTCTCACCATCTCCACTGAAATCAGGGAGCCCACTTTAATGGCATCATTTCTCACCAGTATCTCTAGTTCACAAAAGATGTTCACTCACTACAATGCTTTCCACATGTTCCCTCACCAGTGCATTTCTCAATGAAGGATGTTGCTTCTGTATCCTCTTGGAGGGCAGCATTAGGGGCTAGGTGAGCTGGCTGCATATTATACATCCACTTCAACATCTGTATCTCCCAAGGTCTGTGGATCATTTTTTGTACACTGGCTCCCTAGACATGTTGGCCTCTGACTCTGACAGTGGGTTCAGAGGCAGTGAAAGATGGTAAGGGTGTGGTACAAGGAGCGAAGGGGATCTTCTTGCACCATACATCTTAGGTGAGGTCAACACAGGGTGTCCAGGCAAGGTAAGATCAGCTTTATCAGACCCAGGAGAAGGAAGAGCTTCTGCTGGAATGGGAGGCTCAGTGGAATTTTGAGGTTTGGGTACTCAGAGTTATTCAAATCTTCCTAAATGTTGCTAGTCAATTTCCTAGGGTCCCAAATTTTTCCAGTTAATGAATGCCATGTATTGATAGACCTGATGAGGCTGTAAATTCAACTTATTCAGCAAACCACAGAAATCAAACTCTGTATCTGATTTTCAGTGGCAAGGACTCTATAGCTACAACAGATATGAGGAAGTTTTAGGATTGTCATAGAAACCTTTTAGGTTTTTGACAATGCCCTGAACTAAGAATTTAAAGCCCTGAGACTGCTGTTTTCTTTCCTTAAGTTCTTCAGTGAAGAGATAGCAGCCAGGCCACCTCAGAGTTTTAATTCTGTGTGAGAACTGTGCTACACTATTGCCCTACCACTTGGTCTGCCAGAGCCATACTTTCAACAGGCCCTATATTTCATTTGGCCACACATAGAAGTATAAGTTAACTCTGCCATGGAATGTCATGGTTTATTACTAGTTGTATTTGTTTGTTAGGGTTGCCATCACAAAATACCTCAGACTGGGTGGCTTAAACAACTAATCTAATGATAATGGTAGAACATGAATTACATCAGAAACCTGCTTAATGGGAGTCTGGGAAATGGAGAAATGTAGTTTTTAGCTTTCTAGTTATTGTAGTAGCCAAAGGTTCTTTAGAAAGAGGTTAGAACAGGAGCAGAAATAATATATCATATCTGCTACACAAAGCTAGTATCACCTTGACTCCAAAGCAAGGTAAAGATAGCAGAGAAAAAGAAAACTACAGACTAATTTTACTTATAAACACAGCTATAAAAATGTTAAAAGATCTACTAGTAAAGTGAATCTCCCAGGATAGCAACAAGTCATATGTTGTGATATATATATATATCTCCACTCATTTGCCAAAATGCAGAGCCTTGAGAACAGTCTCTTCTTCCTATTTCTTAAATTCTTGGCATAGAGTAGGGGCTCAAAGAATATATTTATTTTAAGTTTATAATGGTTCTACTATAATTGAATTGATTTCTCTTTATAATCTATTGACTTACTAGATTTTCATGAAAAAAATCTACATAAAACTATGAAAATGATTAAGTGAAAATTAAAGTATCTGGCATAATCTTAAATTCCTTAGTGAAGTGATATGAAAAAATAACAGAAATCAACAGCAGAACCAAACTGAAATTCACTGGAAAATGTGCTGAGAACTGATGAAGATTCCGCAGGTATATGAAAAATGCTTTAATCCCCAAAGATATTTTTACCTCGACAGAGATTCTTAATTTATCTCTGACTCTAAGACAAATTACTTATTAGACTTCTGAGACTACCCTTAATTAAAAGTGAGTCTGTCACTGTAAATTACTGTAAGCATGGGAGTTTGGCTAGAGCATTAGCTCTCTTGAGCCCTGGTGCTAATGAGTGAGCAAATTAAATAGCTCCCCTACTTGCTTCCAAAGTCTGGTTGATAAACCATTTCTTTGTGAGAAGGAAAGCAGGAATCAAAAAGCTCTGCCTCTCCCTATTAATGAGTTCTGATGAGTCCAATGGTGGATGAAGAAAAAAACATATGGGTAACATACAAAATGGACATATTTATCCACAAATAACTGAAAATTAATTCTGCAAATGATCCTAACTTTAAATAGACAAAATATAAGCCACATAACAAAATGTGCTACTCAAGGTATGATAAAAGAACATATTGAGGGTGCACCCAAGATCTCTTGTTCCTTAGCTTACCTTACAGTGCTTGGCTTGTTTGTTAGGACATCAGGAACCTCATACCTGGGTTTCAGGGGAGTTTCTTCATTGATTTTAAGCCTGAAAATATTTCCCTCTATACCATAGATTTCAGCCAGGAGAGAAACCTGGGAACAGATAACGAGATTAGTTTTAACAGGTTACCTCAGTGATGGTCAGTTCTGCAGTTAAATTACAGTAATTAGAAATTATGCTTAAATTACCATAGGCCAACCAAACTGGAGAATAATAGCAATCATGAAGGAAAAAAGCTCCTCGTTCTACATATGAACTTGCTTGTCTATACCTATAATAGAGACAAGAAACACTTTCTATGTGTTCTATGTCTAGGCAAACATATCATTGTGTCTGGACCAGGAACTTTAAGAGTGAAAGAGGTCTCTGTTAAAAATTATAATGGATGACAGGCGTAAACTGAAATTGCTCTTGAAAAACTGGTACACATGACCACTGAAATCTATGACAAATTACAGGTATCTTATAATTAGAGTTTATTATTAAAACTGAATTCAGCTGAATAAAAGACAAAGGATAACAAGCCACAATGTAGAAAAGTCTACAGAGTAAATAGTGGTCATTGAGATTCTTAGTATAGATGAATGAGGCTTGCTGACTAAAATCAGGGCACTTCCTGCACACCTTGGAATAAGGCCTGGGAACTTTCTCAAAAGGCTGGAGAAAAATAGGTAAAATTCTGTCTACAATAGAATTTGAAAAATAAAACACAAAACAACTAACCCCAAGAGAGTAGAAATGGCTGGATTTAGGTTACAAAATGAAGCATCTAGTTCAGAGAAATAATTAAGATAGTGGTTTTTAACTGGTGTGCCATGCCACAGTGGTTGACTGTAAATCCTTCATTAAATGTGATTTTAAATTCTAGTTAAACTGGGTATGTGTATTGTGCATTGTTACTATAATGTCTGTTAAATGAAAGGCTAAGCTGCATTGCATCACATTTCCTTTTTCTGATGGGAATAAGATTTACTTTTTAGATCTACTCTTAGCAACTTTCAAGTATATAATATTGTTAGTTATAATTGCTATACTGTATAGTAGATCCCTGGAACAAACTTATCTTACAGCTGGAAGTTTGTACTCTTTGACCAACATCTCCCTCTTTCCCCTACCCCCTATCATACTGTAATTACTACTCATATGTTTAATGTTCTTTTGTATACCTGAGTTACTTCAAGCATGTCATCAGGACTCTAAGAATTTGAACTGGGTAACAATAAAAATAAAGCTGAAATCCTGTAAAGTTACATATTGTCTCCTAAGTTAGACATATATTTCCATTGCTCTCTCAAATTCAATTCAACTAACATTTATTTGACATCTAATACTGTGATATGCTGTGAAAAAAATGACTAAATTCTTAGGGGGACTGCAATTTAGAGGACAAGAAACACATACATAGTAAACTCAAGAATTCTGTAAGTGCTGAGATTAGGAGGACAGTGCTGTGGGAGCATAAGGGGAATATTAATGATGGCTAGAGTTCTGGGATGTCTCTCTGGAGAAGGACAGACCTGAGCAGGGCCTTCTGGGATTAGTAGGACTTTAGGTAGGCAAAAATGGGCAGGACATCCTAAGCAGAGGGCACATATGTTGTCTGTCTATAATTACCAAATTGCATCTAGTTTATGCAGTCGGATTATCTTACCATTGTTAGTGAAATACCTTTCTTTAAAATCATTTTTTTTTTAACCAGACTGGTCTACATTCTGTTTCTCAGGCTACAGCCCATGAAAGAATCCTAACTATATGAGAGGTGGTAGCAGTAACTATTATGGTAAAAATGACCTTATGCAACCAAACATACGAAACAGAGTCAAAGCTCCATTTTGTTTTCATTTAAACTAAATTAGGCAAGTTTTCCCAATAGGTAATCCTTTTCAAGGTCAATATCCAGATTCATTCTATCTGTTATTATCACCAACATAGCTTTTATACTCCAATCATATAATATTCTTAGACCTTAGAAGGCATTCACTTCTATGATCTGGGTCACACTGTGTTTACTGGCTTAAATTTCTTTCCTCTTCTTTTTTTTTTTTTTAACAGCAGCAGACTCAGAAGTCCAATAAGTAAAGTTATGGGGGTTAAAGACAGTGGGGAGTGGCCCTCCACACTAAGAGGGGCCCCTAACTTTTGAACACCCTCCCTTCCCCTGCACTGAGCTCTGAGACACCTCCAAGGAAACCTGGACTCTGTGGTTGACAATTCAAAAACCACTTCCCTGGGCTTCTCAACTGCCAGTTATTACCCAATTCTTCTGCCAAAACTTTGCTTTGTCAAAAAGGCTGGACATGAATGTTATATTTTCTATCTAAAACATTAAGAATTTCTACATGTTCCTCTTCTTCTCTAGGGACCTGTTAGGATATTTATGAAAAAATAACATACAAATAAATTATTGAATCTTTTCCCTCTTTTAGGGATGATGGAAATAACAGAAAAAGCTAAGATTACAGAAAAAGCTAAAGTTAACAAGTTACACAAGTTAGATTGCTTAAACTGAGAATTATTGTTAATACTTAGGTAATAGTAGCTGTTACACTCAAATTGCAGCAAGATGGATTTATGTGACGTAAGTGAAGAAACATAACTAAACATTTAAAAAGAAGTGAGAGAGCATGGTTTTTGCTCCCTTAGAAATATTTAAGATGTGTAAATGTCTGTCTACACAGAGAAGATGAGATAAATTCAGAGAAAGAAATACATTGTAGAGGTTCCTTTCAGCATTACAAGTCTCTACTTGGGTTTTTCACAAACCTTTAATCAGAGACTTACTTCTGGGAAAGAGAATTAATTCCCTTTTCCTGTCAAATTTCTCCCATACTCAAAAACAAAACCTGGTAGTTTGTCATTCCCAAGTCAAGTTTTTTCAGCCACCTGGGCGAAAAATACTAGGTTCTAAAATTCATGATTGAAACAGACTTGTCTACATATTGGAGCAGTAGATTGATCATGATTACATTAAAACAAAACTTTTTATTCACCCAGAACTGTTAATCACAACTAATAGAGACTGTAACTGAGTTAAAAGAACAGCCCTAGAACACATATTTAAATAGCAGTGTGTATTAAGAAAGGAAATTATGACCCCATCAGTTTCTCCTTCATGGGTAGATCTTGCTTTTCCTCTTGCATCTGGCGCTTTGACTGTAGTATAAGAACAGTTAACCTAAAAAGCCTAGGAGAGTGAGCAATGAACTCTCCTAGCTGTTTATCAAGACTTTCCAGGATTCAGAGAATGGTAAGAGTTCATCAAATTGCTGTAGGGCACTACACTGTCCCTTCCACAGTTGCAGCTAGTTGGTGTATTGTAAGCGCCAATTCTCTATGGAGAACATTGGTAAGTTCATACTGGGCATTAGCCCATTCCCAAGGACCATTGTGCTGTCCGGGTATGCTTCTGATTATTGGGACAGTACCCAAAATAGCTGCCTGTTCCTGGTCATTACTGCAGAACCAATACTGGCTAACAAGTGGTACTGATGCCTCATCTGCTGAGGAGTGGGCTGGTTGGGAAAGTACCATTTTCATCCGGTTTTGCTGAAGAGGCAAAGGGTATCTTCATGAGATACCCCTGCATCCTTGGAGAAGCTGCTAACCATGCTGTCTCTGGTGAAGACTTGCAAATAGGCTGCAGAAGAAATCACTGCCAAATGCTCATCCATTGTCATGAGAAAGTATCAAAATTAGCAATATAAAGTAGGTCAAAGACATAGGTCTGTTCCAGATAGCATTCCTGGACATTTTAGCTAGACTCAAAAGACAGCATAAATTTCCCTGCTCTGTCATCATAAACCTAGATCTTCAGTTTCTCAATCCAGGTCAAATTTTCAATGAAGGTAAAAAGTTAATCATAGTAGGAAAAAACAGTTCTACAAAAGCCAACATTTTACTGATAACTCCTCTCTTTCTAGATTTTCTTCTGGAAGCTTCTTTATTAAATATCTACCTGATTATTTTGTCATCAATAGTGTGGGGAAAATGGAAGTTCCTATGGCCAGGATCCTCACCTGACCCTAAACTACTTGATGATGTAATTGGCCTCTTAGGCTACTGCTCCCACACCCATAGGCAATAAGCTATTATTGACTGAGTCCCTATATAAAGAGCTCTGCCCAGTGCTCTGGGCAAAGGCAGAGACAGAGGAGGATTACAGACCTGCAGACTGTAGGATGCAGATGTGATTCTAGTGCTTGACTGACTGCAAGGAGAATAAAACCAGGTATAAACCCTTTTACCCCAAGAATGTTCCATTGTCATTCCTCAGTGTGGAGAAAGTGAAGGTTCCTATGGCCAGGATTATCATCAGGCCCTGGTTGGCTTGCTCACTACACACATGTGGGCAATATGTTGTTACTGACTCTATATAAAGAGCTCTGCCCAGTGCTCAGGGTGACGTGGTGGCACGGCTGCAGGGCTGCAGGGCTGCTGGAAAGCAGAGACTGAAGTGGTGGCAGCACCGAAGAGAGACTGAGACAGCTGGGGGGCAGAGACCGGCTTGCTGCATGCAGGCTTGCTCTGAGTGGACGGGATTCTAATGATTGACCTGCCACCGTGGGGATAGAGTTGGGTATAAACCCTTTCATCCCAAGAATGTTCCGCTGACATTTTTTCGATCTCACTGAGTCCACAGTGAACTTTTCTGGGACTGAAACCCATTGGCAAGACACTCAGTCTCACCGAATCCGTAGTGAATTTGCTTGGGGCTGAAACCCTCAGGCAAGACAAATAGGTAAGGTATTACACTGGGATCCTGTGTGAAAACTTAATGCATTTGAACGTGCAACCAGCTTTCCTTCAAAGTCCAGATGTCCTGACCTAGAGACAATACCCAGGGCACCACTTCTGCTTGTTCTGTAACATTAGTGTGTCCCAGGGACAGCATGTTTGCTATGGACTGAACTGTGTATTTCCCCCACCCCCCAGTTCATATGTTGAAGCTCTAACCCTCAATATGATGGTATTTGGAGGAGTGTTAGGGAGGTGATTAGGTTTAGATGAGGCTGTGAGAGTGAGGACATGATGGGATGAGTGTGCTCACAAGAAGAGACCAGAGAGCTCTCTCTCCCCTATGTGAAGATAAAGTAAGGTGACAGCAGTCTACAAGCCAGAAAGAGTGCTTACCAGACACCTTGATCTTGGAAGTCCCAGATTCCAGAACTATGGCAAATAAATGTTGTTTAAACACCCCGTCTATGGTATTTTGTTATGGCAGTCCAAGCTAAGACAGTGTTGAATAAAGTTTGGTTCTGTTTCCTGGTTGCTTATTAAGGGGACAGTTGGGGGAAAGGGATTGGGAAGAAGGATTTCAAAAATTGACAGATCTTGACAACAAAGTTATGGCTTTAAGAGTTTTAATGGTGTGGGCGCAGGCACTAAGAATGCTGGGTTTGTCAGATTCTGCCTAATCAGTGAAATTTGAGAACTACAGCTGCGAGCTAAATATGATCCTCTTAGATCATACCAGGCTCTGTCTCTCCGAACATGAAATGAAAAGCTATCATTCTGAATAAGTGGATATAATGCAGCTTGCTTTAAGTCTCCAGACCACAACCATACTATATCCTAATGTGGAAACTCCTGTGAAACATTCATCTCAACCCAGAAACAACCACTAATGGGGGCTCCTTGACTATGCAGTGTGTTGAATACAGGGTTCAGGAGTAGAGGTTACTGTCTGGATCTTTTTTGTCCCTGAACAGGCTGACAGAAGGCATGAAACCTTATGTCCCTAGTAGTAATATCAACTCCAAGTGACAAGAAGGACATTAAATTGGAGTTCAGCCTAGGATTTCAGGACGACCTCCCCAAATATCTACATTTGCATGCATTATGCCTGAGATCAAAGCACAAAGATTCCCTCTGCAGCCTCAATATTTCCAATACCTGAACATGGGGTCTGTTCCAAGGGGCCCTCAAACTGCTCAGTCTCATCAGCCATATTGCTGACATCCCGGATAAGCTGCCCTTGTTGCTTGGGCTTCTGAGCTCCCTTCTGAGCCATGTGCTGTCTTGTGCTTCTTTTTCTCTGAAGGCATCCAGATCCAGTGATTCTGGTTCTGGCACCTGATCTGAACGGCATTGTCACTCACAGTTTCAGGATCCACAGGGAAATGTGTGTAGAGAAACTGATCTATAGTCTTGTAAAAGGCTGTTGTGGAGATCTTTTGCTGACTACACCGGGGGCAAGGTGCACCGAGAATGTGCCTGTGGGCCCAAACTGGTATTCAGGGTGCTTTTGCCTCATTTCTTTTTGCTTCAGCACTTGTCTTCATGCCAGTAGATTGTTCAGGTGCATCTCCAAGGATGGAAAGGGATTCTTGCCCTGACCATGGGACAGCTATAACTCTCTGGGGTTAGACACTTCAGAAACAGGAAGAAAAATGAGCAAATGACAGGAAAAATGAGACAGGGTGGTACCTGACATGTTGTGGCAGGCCTAGTGACTCCTGGAAGGTCTCTGGTGGACTCCCTGCCTTTCCTTGTGCCAAGTGCTTCTGCAGACCCTCAATGCAGAGGTTTGGCTGGTATCAGGTAATCAGGCTGCATACTAATGGCAGCTGGCTCCCCCAGAAGGAAATTCATGCTGCTCCATGTTTTCTCAGGAACAGCTATCAAACTAGGCTACAGAAAGATGGATACTATGGGAGATTTGGATCAGCAGAGAATCTATGACTGCTGAGGTACCAAATGGCTTTCACATGTCTTTCAGGTACATAAATTGCCAATTGAACCAGATTGGTGTGGGAGGACTCAGAAGCTTAAGATGCCTTTAGAAGGTAGGGGGGTACCTGGAAGTGAGGGTCAGGTTGAGAGTATCAGGTACCTGTGCATAGCCACTACCTAGCCCAGCCCACACAGTACTTTCTCTGATTGACCCACCAGGATGGCCCATCCAAAGGAGTGTGGAGGAGGGACAGGTGAGAACAAGTGTGAGAACATCTGTGACTTAGGTTTTAAACTGTATAGTCCCTTGCTCCCCTGTCCCACCCACATTTTGGGGTTTGGACTTTCACTGAATCTGTACCTTAGGCTAAATTCTTAATGGTGTGTAATGGTATTAGAAAGAGCATGGTTGCTTGATAGGCAACAGATGCAGGTGAAAATTCTGATTTGTAGTAGCATGACTTGGAGCAAGTAACTTCTACACTTCAATTTCCCTTATTTCAAAATTTGTATAATCTGAAAATAATACAATGTACCTCTTAGGTATATTACATATACTAATTAAAAGGAACTAACATTTGTAAAACATCTGGGGAAGTATCTGCTACACAGGTAATCTGTAAATTGATATCCATATTGCTTTTAAAGTAGTATTAGTGTAACTATGAAAAAGATGACATTACTCCTCTAAGTGTCTAACCCCTTTTGAAGCATAGTTTTAATTAGCTTTTTTGGAAATTTACTTCATTCAACCCAAATAAATATAGAAACAAACAATTCTCTGTAGGAAATATTTCTCACCTTAGTTGCTTTGTTGACAACTTGGAACCTGGTGCTTTCTTTGCCTGTTGTGACTGATTCTAGTAATGCCTGGTAGATGGACTTCCTGGAACGCTGCTGTTTCTGACGCCTACAGATATGGAGTACACAGATGCCTGAGAAGTAATTGTGACTGTCAGCATCCAGTAGACTGTATTACCAAGTAGAAGGCATTAAAATTCACTATGATAGTAAGTGAATTGGGCACAGACAGTATTAGTACTCTAATAAGGTACTCGCTGATAAAATTAGTACTAGTACGAATACTAATTGTTCAATGTAACAATGCTCAGGGATGGCATTCTGCCCCTTTATGAAGAAAGTGGGGCAGTTTCATAGATGACATTTACTAACTTGCTAATTTCCCTCTCTTTCCATGAAATATACACTTTAATAGAAATTCAATAAATTCTAGTGGTAATCCAGTACAACCTAGTGTTTGAACAAGGAGACCAGAAGTTCACTGTAGAATAAAAAATGATATGATTTTCTTCTCCAGAGTAGTGTGACTATCTTATAAAATCATAATACATGATAAAATTTTGGGGGATTTCAGTTTCAGGATCACATAAAGACAGACACTCAAAAGACTTTAAAGAAATATTTTTGAGGCTCTGGGAAAAATAATCTTACATAGAGGTGATGAAAGTACCGAATGCTACAGTCCCTATGGAGGGGTATCTGGTAATAGTTAAAATTTCAAATACACTTACACACTTTGACCCAGTAATCCCACTCCTGGAAATTCATCCTATAAATATACCTGCATGTGAAGGAAATGACATATATATATAGCTTCTCATGGTGGCAGTGATTTATAGCAATAGACTGAAGGCATCCCAAGGCTCTAGTAATAGGAGAAGACTGAAAAAATTATAGTACATCTAGCCAGCGGAATACTATTAAAGCTATAAAAGGGGAAAATCCCCACAGACTCATACAGAGCTCTTGAGAATTAACTATGAAGTAGGAAAAAAAGAGGTACATAACAGTGTATATAGAAAGCTACTTGGTGTAAGAAAGGCAGTGATATAAGAATATATATATTTATAAAAAGAAATACTGGAAGGATAAATAAGAAATTTAAAAATCTGGTTACTTGCAGGGACAATATATGGAATGGGGTGGAAGGGGACAGGAAATGGGAGTAATACTTTTCAATGTATTATCATTTTATATTATTTGATTTTTGAAACATGTAAAAGTATTATCTATTCAAAGACAAAATTGTAACATTAGTTTAAGAACACTTGGACTTTTAAAATACCTATATTGAGAAATTTAAATAACACAGGAGTATTTTGAATGTCTTCTGTCTGATGAATGCCTTAATCACTCAATTTCCTCACTGCCCCTTTCCTTAGAAAGCCTATCAGTTCTCAAAAAGTTAATAAACCTCAATTTTGAAATACTGTCAAAATTTCCTCTCCTTACCTGTAGAAGGCAATCTTGCTACAGTCTTTGAAAACGTTTTTATCCACAGCTTCATCTTCAACACTAAAAGACATTTTAAGAAACTTATTTTATACCAGGGCTTGTGAATCCAATTTTTGTACCTTTTCTAACTATAGCATGAATGATAGGGAAATAAGCCTCTTCAATGAAAAACTGTGCCACAGCCATAATATTTCAGCCTGTGTGTGGCCGAACAACATCCTTCTGTAAATCACCCACAGTAAACAACAAAACACCCAATTCTGAGATTACTCTAAAAGCCATGAAAAAGAGCACCATCACTTATGAAGAAGGGTTCTTTTAAAATAACGACCGATGGCTATGACTCACAGGAAAACGTGACAGAGCAAAAACAAACCAAAAAAAAAAAATCCTAAACCAAACAAACAAAAAAAACAACCCGCCCACCAACTTATTCAACAACATCTTTTCAGAATATTCTTACCGAGTGTTGGGCTCTGAGGAAGATACGAAGAACTGACAAGAGCCCAACCAACAATCACAGATCAACCTGACAAATGCTTTACTAGATATAGGCAAGCTGCTAGAACAGGAATAGAAACAGATATAGAAGGAAAATCTTCTGCTTTTTAAGACTATGCTGACAATCTAGGAGCCAGTGTTTTTTAAAACCAAATTTCCAGAAGAGCTGTTTCTGGACTAGAACATGAACAAGATGTGTATATATTGCTACTCAAGTATATGTATTTAAATTAGCCTCTACTTGATTAAAACAACTGTAAGTTACAAGGGGAGAAAGCACATTGGCCTTCATGCAGAGGTGTTGCTGAATACAGCCGTCTAATGTGTAAGAAACTATGACTGAGCACAAACTCCCAAATATTATAAAAAAAGAGTCCAGGAAGATAACACTCAGCCATACTTAAAAAAATTGTTTATCACAGAAATTACCAAATCCTTCACTGACTCAGTCTTTGTCACTGTGTCTCTTAATTGAGGTGCAACAATTAGAGAAATTTTTTTTCTTTTTTTCTTTGCAGTCTTCACTTTCTAGCTTTGAAGACTGAGCTCCAGAATTATAAAGGTAGAGGTGGGTAGAGTTGAACATGGAAAGCAACATGTTTGAAATACACGTGCTATAGTTATGATTACAGCTCTTCCACTATTTTGTTAACCACCCTGAAAGTATTTTATAAGGGGTAAGCTATAAATATCAACTATTTCAGTTCCCTGGGGAACTGAGAAAAATGATAAAGATCAAGTGCATGAATATTAATATAGAAATAAGAAGGTCAACTAATCAATAAAACCTTCAAAGCCAAAATGTTGCTTTCAGGTACTTATCCCCTGACTCCAGGAGTCAGTCCGTTAGCACCATTGGGCCTTTACCTGATTTCCTCTTTCCCAGCAGTTTCCATGGCTTCCCAGTCTATCCGACAGGCTCTGAGCAATCAGGCAAAGACAGTGGACGATCTTTCTAAAACGCTGATTGGCTGTTTTTCTAAATTACAAGTTAGCACTTCAGCACGGTCAAGTCTCCAGCAAACGGATTCCCCTCAAGGTCCTTAGGGATTTGTGACAACTCGACTCTTGCTCCTGGGATTTCCAGGCCCAAACTAGTGTTCCTAAAGGGATTTATTTGACAAATTTTTCTTGGTTATTAGTGGCTGGTGAGGAACTGCTTTTATTAGGAACCGAAACTGTCTTTTCCGCCGTGGGGGCGGGTGCTCAAAGAGTCCTAGAAGAAAAATATCAAGAGCGTGAGAACTGGGGATACCGAGAGCAGCTACACCACTGGGGCTAAACTGAGGTCTAGCTCAGTGACGGTCACGCTACAGATACTGAAAACTGACCGACTCTGAGTTTTAGTTTTGAATATAAAGTGCCGTCCAGCTCTTCGCTGGAGGTTGATTCTCTCCGGCCAATTCTCCTGCAGCATCATACTTTTCAATGCTAGAAAGGTCTTTTTTAAAGAGGGGTTATCTATCACAACACTCTGTTTAGGAATCCCTTATACTCCACCACCACCAAATTCCAGTCTTTGCTTAAATACCTCCGGAACCTGGAACTTACTACTAGACGCCAACCAGGCAGCCAGACTTACGGCTTTCCCAGACTTCTGGCCCCGGCGTTTGACTTTTGGCTTAGAAGGGATGAGGGGCCGGGGCGGACAGGAGCAGAGAGCCAAACGCTACACGAGGTGCTTGCCTGATCCCCAAGGCCTTTAAGGGCTGGCAGAAAAGAAAAGAGCCAACCACGGTGTTGGTGGTTTTTGGTGATGACCCTGACGCTCCAAGGTGACCAGGCTACTACAGGACGACGCCTGCGCAGTGCGTCTCCAGCCCGCACGCTGCCCTGACAACTGGCTAAGGGAGGGGCTGCTGGGTGGCAAAACAAGCCAGCTCCGCGAAGTTGCGAGGACCCGGATCATCCCGCCCCCCAGAGCAGAGCCGGAAGGAGGCGGGGCGAACCGGAAGAGGGTGAAATGCTGTGGATAGGCACTCCATGGCTGTGAAGATGGCGGCGGCTGCGTGGCTTCAGGTGCTGCCTGTCATTCTTCTTCTGGGGTCTCAGACATCCCTATTGTCTCTCTTCGGTGTAGGACCGGCACCCGTCGCTGCTGCTGATCGATCAAAGTGGCACATTCCGATACCGTCGGTGAGTGTTCAGAAGCAACTAGCCTGGAGGAATAAGGGGGTGGGGCTACGGCGGCCCAAGGGGTCCATGAAGGTTCCTCAAAAGTCCGCTTCCAAAGGGGTGGAATTGCCGGGAGCATCTGTGTGTCTGGTTAATGGGGACCCGCTTTCCTGGAGCGGAAAGCCGTGCACTTCTGTGGGCAGGTTACCAGGAATGTCACTGCCACTTCAGAAGCAGAGAAGAGTGGTGGAGCGGTTTCTTAACAGCCGAGTCCGAGAGAACTTTCAGTGCCTGAGTTGAGACATGTAGATTTAATGTATAGTTAGAGAATAGTTTCTTTTTCAGCTAAAGTTCCACAGGATCCAGTAATCCCCGAGAGGAATATGTAAATAGGCGTCTTTCTTACTTTCTCTTTTTAACTGCACTTTTTTGTTACTAGATAATACTACTTAACGAAGTTGTTTGATTTCGTTTGAACTTTGAAATGGTTATTCTACGCCCGAATTAGGAATCCTAGTCGTTTAAAAAATATATTTTAACATGAGGCTGGTTAAAATGGATGAAATATTATTCTAAAATTTGATATGGTAAGGTTAGTATTTTGGACAATTAATTAGATAGGTTGACCCTTTCTCCCCCTCGCCCGCTTTTAAACCTCATTTGAGTAAGAGCTATAGTTCTGTGAGCAGACAAAAATCAGATGCAGGCAGGAAATGCCGAAATGCATTAGTCCGATTAAAACCAGAATGGCCTTTTTGTTTCATTCCGTTCCACTCACTGGTTGTAATGTCCACATCTTATTTGAGCTTTTGATATGGCAGGCACTATAACTTTTGTTTATTTGGTGGAGATCTTCAGTTTCTCAATTTTAGGTATTTATTACAAAATGGTCTGTCTGCTTATAGAATAGTTTATTTGAAGAAATGGTTACTCTGGACAGTGATGGGTGAGTAAAGGGAAGGAACTGATTAAGGAGTCCCTCCCAGGAAGGTTTAAGTTAAGTTGGGATTTCTAGCAGCTTCCTAGAGTCCTTGCTTCCTTGCCTGTGGGGAAAAAATCATGTCTCTGTGCCAAGCTACAGAATTCTGCAGTTTGGATATGGTTGCATTTTACTAAGAGGAAGGACATTGATGTCTTGTTTATTAACAAAACTAACTTAGACTCTTTATAAATCATAGATTTTTATACCAGTTATATTCTACATTGGGAAATAAAGTGACATGATGCTAATTATCTTTCTCTCCTTTATCTTTGCAGGGGAAAAATTATTTTAGTTTTGGAAAGATCCTCTTCAAAAATACCACAATCTTCCTGAAATGTGAGTTTTTGTGTTTCATTAAGTTTTCTTTGAACTTTTCAGTGATCTTCAAATTAACCTATTTTCTACCTCTGATGATCTACTCTCAACATATATACTAAAATTTAATAATCTAGCAATGTCTGGGTATAATAAACATGTAGTATAACTAGGTCCTTTACTGAGAAATCTTCAAAGTATTTACTAGTGTGAAACTTAATTTTCTTCTTTTGTTTTTCTGGTGTTTATAAGTTAGATGAGTTGTGTTGATTGATTGCCTGCATGATGTTTTAATCTAAGTCATAGTGGTACCACCAATTTTGCTTTTATGTGCTTGTTAGATGATTACTGAACAGGTTTTGTAGGCTTGTCAGACCATTGGCTCTGAACGAATATGTTCAGTAAATCTTTTGTTTACAAAAGGAGTATGTTACCACTTGGATCTTTGGAAGAGGAAGCTCAGAGATATTATCAGGAAATAGGGATTACTTAGAACAAAACCAGTCTGTCCAGTGGGAAAACCACTGTATCTAAATCCAGAATATCCCATTCCAGTTTTAAAGAACAGCTTCTTTTTATTTTTGAAACTGGCTTTATTTTAGAGAATAAATGGTGATGAGCAGCCAGTTCCACTTCAGGATCAGGGTAAAAATCCTGATTATCCGTCTGTCTGTGCTTCTCTGTATATATTTCCCCATGAAAGTGCAAAGTTTTAAGTCATAGTTGGATGATTTTATTACTTTTGTAATTAATAAGTAGTTATTAAAAACCTGCTCTGTGTCAGGCTCTGTTTTAGACTGCAGGGAAGTGATAGAAAAGTCCCCTTACTAAGCTTACAGTGTAATGGGAGTAAAGGGGGCAGATAGAATTTCCATGAGGAATAGACAGTGTCTGTGAACATGCAATCTAATGACTTAAACATGGTTTAAATCTAATCTACTCTGACATGCTGGTCTTTCTTTTGACAGTTTACTAGATAAAAGTATCTTCTAGGGATAGCAGTATTTGTCTTCTGGAAAGCCTGAGAGTCTATATGCTATTCTATTAATTATGTATTGTCTTTTCTTATCTGTATTTTGATCTAATGGTGTTTTGCCAAGCTTATGCAAATTGTATAATTTGAAGTGTCTACATTTCATTGTGTTTGGAGGATTTGTGGCTCCTTAAAAATTACATTATCTTTCACTTTGTTACTTTTGTGCTTTTTCATATTTACCTTGTCTCTGATTTTGTACTTTTGTGCATATGGTATTTAGTTTTCCATGAGCTTGGCAGGACCCTATTCATTGTCCCTTAAAACCATTTAAATGGTGTCTTTTAATGTAAATAAGTATTTTTGCAGCCAAATTTCCCCACAAATCTGTGTATTGGGATTTTCTTATTGGCTCTTATTTAATTAAGCCTGTCTTTGTAGAGTTCTTCTGAATACTTCATAGCAGAATTGCAATATCCTTTTCATCATTTCCATAAATTCAATTCAATTGTGTCAGGTTTTTGTGCATTTTAATGAAACTTTTAAAAGTGTGCTACTTAAAAACTTGAGAAAACAAAACAAAGAAAACAGAAAAGTTATCATTTTAGGTTTCTGGATGCAGTCGTGTCTGTCCTTGTCACAATTGCATAAAGTAGGTATTCTTAGTATATGTCCTTTTCCACAGCTAGGATCAAAGATAAAAGAACACTGACTTGCCCCAGATGAGAATGATTATCAGTCATATAGTCAGATTTTTGTGTTCCCAAGTCTTCAGACCAATACCTAGAGGTCTCTCTTAAGGGGGGTTTGAAAAGGATTTAATACTCCTTTATCTTTGCTTTTGCCTCCCACTCTCCCCAGCTGGGTTTGCTTTTTAGTTCATAGTTCTTTCTATCCAATCTTGGTATCTATCAAGGTCTAAGCCATGAATTTTTTTCCTCAGTGGAACTTTTTAAAATATTACCTTGAGATATCCCTAATGTTGTTACTTCTTTGTATACTAAAGTGTTCTGCTAGATAAATATTTGAATGGTAATAGAAGTCTGCTTTTTAACTTAGGACTGCTTTATCACCTCCACATTTTTCCCAACAGGGAACCAGAAATCCAGCCATAAAAATAGAGTTTCAAAGGTTAAAAACTGTTTAATTGCTGTTTCTTTTTGGGAACAATAATTAAATGCATCTGAAGAGTAGCCAGTTCTTTTTATATATATATTACTTCATTACCTTGTGTTTGGAGAAGGAACAGTCTTTTGAGTATCTCAGTTTAGCAGGGAAGAAATGAGATGTGGGTAACAGTTTAGAAAAAAATGTTTTGTTTGGGTATGATCTTTTATTCACAAAGATTTCTTTTATAGTTGATGGAGAACCTTGTGCTGTATCTTTGAATATAACCTGGTATCTGAAAAGTGCTGACTGTTACAATGAAATCTACAACTTCAAGGTAAGGAACATAAAATTGACAGACTCTTTCTTCCTGGGCTTTTGAGATCTTGGGGTCCCAAACTGATAGAGGAAGGAGTGTCATGTAGCTATGTAGAAAAGATCTGAAACTAGATAGAATCCATGCTCTCCCAATTTGTGATCTACTGTACCAGCAGTTCTCAAACTTTTTGGTCACAGAATTCTGTTAAATTCTTAAAAATTACTGCAGGCTCCACAGAGCCTTTGTTCATATGGGTTACTGTATTAGAAATTAAAACAAAATACATATTAACTTATTTAAAAATAGCAATAATAAACTCATAATTAAAATAGCAATAAAAAATAATAAAAATGTTAATATAAATATTTTTAATGAAAATCTTTTCAAAAAAACCTGGAAGACTGGTGTTACTATTTTTTTTTTTTGGCAAATCTCTTTATTTAATGTTGGGTATAATAAAGACAGCTAGATTCTTACATCTTCTTCACTCAGTCTATTGCAGTACACTATTTTGATTGAAGTATATGCACAAAATGAATGTGGCGTTACACAGATATACAGTTGGGAAAGGAAATGGTATTTTAGTAGTGTTTTCAGATGATTGTGGATGGTTATTTGATTCTATACCAAAACCTAACAAATGAAGTTTCTAAAAGGTTAGTTGCAATGGGGAATCTGAAACCATATCAGTGAACTCTTTTCGTACTGTTACTAAGATAAATTGGTGTTTCCATACACTTTGCGTGGTCTTTTACCCATGTCTGATTCTGTAACATCATTCATTGGTCATTTAGAAAATACTGGTTGACTGAATTATATAAGCTGTCCAAATATTAATTCATTTTACAATTAACTCAAAATTACATTTGCTAATATTACCCTCAGTCTGTCAGAAATTCCATAAGTATTGGAAGCTGTTAATCTCATCGTGAAGCACATACAAGTTTTCT